GTGAGGTCACGTTACAGCGTTTTTTGCACGGAAAAGTTGGTTTTTCTTTAATATATAGAGAGATATGCGGAAATAAAAGACAGCATTTCTAGAAGGTCCAAATCTCATTCAATCCTCTATCCGGTCCGTTATTCGTTCCTATGATTGAATTTCACAGAGTACCAAAAAACCGCGCGGCTAAATATGCCAGGGGGCAGCAAGCCGCGTCTTGGCACCATTTATTAACATCTATGGTTGATGACGTCGTTGGTGGTTGAAGGCGAGGATTATTATGATTATTACTAGATCTCAAGTAGTATATAGTATATCATTGGGAAAATTCTTCATTACTCTTAATTTGAAATCTAGTATGGTTCTGATTCTTTGACATCTCTCTCAACTAGACTGTTCAGAGAAAAATCATCAAATTCTGATTAAATCTGAGTGAATATAAAGACATTCTTTTATACACCGTAAGTTATAACTTAACTATTAGAACTTATTTAATGCTCTGTCTGTTAACCACACCCCACCGCTCTCCCCTTACGCTGAGTAAAGCATGTATCTATCTCACCAGGAGACCCAATCGACAAAGAGAAACAATTTAAAGTGGAATGGTATAGGCACCAGCATACTGGCAATCCTTCGCAACCTGTGGTTCGAGGTTCTCTACGCAATTCCACTTCCCATCATTCCCGTCCAGATAAACACGATCACCAACCGACCAATCGGCTAGGAATCGACACGCTCAATCGCGAGAGTGAAGTGGCCAATTCTAGTGAATCAATCGGCGAATTTGAGAAGAATATTCGCTGTCCGGCCCACAGGAGGCATGCTGGTCCGGTGTAGAGTTCGAGGGCCTATACGTATATATGTAGTACATGTACATCTGCATGAGACGATCAGTACGCAAGGCACTCTTCTCAGAAGGTAAGAAAGAGGCTTTTTGTGCCAAGAAATGCAATATATGCACTCACCAGATCATGTTGCAATGCACACCCGTTTAAGCTTCCCACCGGGCATGGAGTCATCGAGGGTAAAGCTCATTGAGTTATCCAAGGCGTTATCGGCCTTGAGGTTAGTTACTGGGAATTTGGCCATCGCCCTTATGAGTTTTCAGCTACAAGCCCCCCAGAATCGAGCATAGAGAAAGCAGCAGCTGAATAGACCTTCGATCTTCGCTGCTGAATAGAACGCGACTTAGTTCCATCCCCAAGTCGAATGGGAATTGCGTCTTAGAGTGGTCGGCCCGGTCTCATAATTATACTTATTTTAACTCTTCTCCATAGTAAGGAGACAAGGGATCTGGTTGTGTTTCTCCTCAGCTATTGCAGACCATTGCGGTTGGTTAGTTAGCAGTTAATGCAAATAATAATCAGTAAATCGAAAAAAGAATGAGGTCCGCGCGGTTAAATTGAGAGTGAAGGTTGAGCTAACCATTGAAAAGAAATACTCGTCTTGAAAAGGGTCGATGCAATTGTTACCTGACCCATGCCTTCAGTCAGAGCAGAACATGAGACTAAAGAAATGAGTTCGCGATCTCTTAATCTTATTGAGGGAGGTTGCTAAGTAAATAACCGACCAGCAGAGCTAGGCAATATGATAAATATGCCCGATGCACGAATATGCAACCTGCGTTGACAAAGAAGCGGACGCTCGAACTGAAGGGTAAATAAACTATTATTATATATTAAGCAATAAATATCCAGTCATCCCATATGTTAAATTATCTCTCCGTCACGCTTATGAAGAAGGGGCCGGATATGGATGCTGCTAGAAATTGATTCAAGGTACAGATTAGACGTTAAGATGATTTAATGAAGGGTGCTCAGACAGCCAGGACATGGTGAACTGGCCAGATTTCAGCTTCGCATCTCCCTTTCCATCTCAATTCGGGATATAATAGAAGAGTAATATACTTCTTTGACAATTTAGTTGAGCTACTTTATCTACAACTTCGACCAAATCGGCACCGCCATTTTACCCGAGGCAAGGAAAAGGAATGATTCATGTCTCAAGCAATACATTATTACAATCATATACACATACATACATTCGTTATCCCAAGAAAAGAATACCTCTGGTACGCACAGGAAGCACATAAACAAAAGCCAAAAAGGGCAGCTTACTTTCAGAGGGATAGACATATGTACATGGCCCGGGATTCTTAGTCGGCGACATTTGGTCCCTAATAATAACAATGTATATGTGACTAATGATCGTATGCTGGTCAGATTTCCAATGTGCAAACGCAAGAAAATGGGCGTGAGACAACCACCTGGAGGAACGGGTTGAGTTGGGGAGGCTTGCGAAAATAGGTCAAACTTGAGCCTGTGTCATTCAGATTGGAAAGGGCTGGTGGAACAGAATGAAACGAAAAGTAGACTAACACTAAAACAAAGACAAGCAGAATAGACAGAAGTTGGCCACGTGAATCAGTATGTGGGTATGGGGAATTGGCGTTCAAAGCATAGAGCATAAAGCATAAAACATATCAAGCGTTCGTGAAAAAGGTGCCGCGATCGAGTTCGGGAGCTGATTATAAAAGGGGAGGGTGCTCTCAAGGGGAAGGCCAGGGTAACCGAAGATAGAGAAAACAGGGTTTAGGTTGTTTTTTTGTTTTTGTTTTGTTTTGTTGTTGTTCGGTTCCGTTCTCAACGTTGGCAGATAGTGTTCAGGCGTGAGAAGAAGGTGGTATTTTCGTGGGTGTGTCGGATCCGTATCGGTTATTCTGTTTTCTATTTTAGGTTGATATTCCCGTTTCGTATTCCTTTCATGGACGATCCTTTGTTGACATTTATCTCCATGAAGAAAAAAATAAGAACAGAAATATCATCGGAAACCACCTCGGACTTTATTGATGTCGACACCCCTGTGGAAGTCTCACTGAACTGGACATTCCCATCCCCTTGTGTTGGCTAAAAGAGAGCAAAGTCGGTTGAAACGCGTACCCTCCCATACAAGAAATCAACCGTAAATTAATAGCCACGAGTCGCGGAAACAGTAGACAAAATAACCAAATACGTAAACCAACCCCCATTCGACATCCCGAGTCTGGAGTTCCGTACGAAGTCGGTAATCGAAAAGATTGACGGGCCGCAGAGGAGAGGAATATTGACATCGTGAAAAGAATAACGTGCAAGTAAATCGGGACATCCTACGCTTTGTAGCACCGGGTTACAAGGCGAAAAACATGAAGGACCCCGAGGCCTGGAGCTCCAGGTCGACTGCCGCGCAGTCCATAGCTGTTGTGGGTTGAAGGCCACTAACAACCTTGACCGGGGCGAGTACACCAACGTTTCGCGACGACTGTTACTATGTCAATAAGGGCCCACCGTCATGGATTCTACAGTGCAACGAATATGTTATAGGTTAGGAGAGAGTGGACATACATTCGCCCTCGTTGGGTTTCTCAACAGCAGGCTGTGGCTCGGGTGCTGGAATGGCAACTGCCCACACGGAGGCGGTCATGAGGGTGAGGAATACAACGAGGAACTTCATGTTTGCTTTTGTAGTTTGGGTAAAAGGCTGGATGGGTTGTAAAAGGGAAAAGAAGCTGTAGCAAGAGGGAGCTGCGGTATATTGAAGGTTGCTAATGTTGCTAATATTGTTGAAATTGATCGAATCGGTTGTTGTGCATGAGAATAGAAGAAACGAAAATGAGAAGATGCAGGGAGTGGTGTTTTATAGACAAAAGATGGTCAGGAGAGAAAGCAGACTTGGGACCCACCCACAATAGAGGGTTATTTCAGGGCCCTGTCTTGTGCCCAGTAGTACGTTGAAATAAAGAAAGTAAAAAATAAGGAGAAAGAACAGACGAACACATGGGGGCTAGAAGACGAATTGCGATAACCTCCAATAGCTTATTGCGAGAAAGACAAATTCACTTGGGCTTTGTGCCTAGGGTCAAACCCCTGGTGTAAACTCATGACCATATGGTACTCGACAAGAGAGTTCAGAAAGATTCTCCAGTCTCCAGGAGAATGAAAGGGATGAAACGAAAGATAATCTCCAGATTTGCCCCAGGCTGGGGATGTTTCTTCCCAAGGTTCTGAGAACGGCGGCCATGTGTTTCTGCTCCGCGTTCAGCATGGCAACACGGACCACACGCCATGCAGGAGACGCAGAAGGAGATGCAGCAGGAGATGCAGCAGGAGACGCAGCAGGAGACGCAGCAGGATGCAGGGACCATCCCCCGTGCCATGCAAGGGTTGGAGACAGACGTTTTTGTGTTTCAATAAACACAGAAGGGTGGAGAATATCCAAAGGAGTTCAGGTGTTATTCAAGTTCCGGATTAGGCGTTCAATAAGTAGAGTTTCAACCTTAAACGTTAAGCTAAATAAAACTAAGGGCAGTTAAGATGTTTGACATGGTCGCTCATGCTAAGAGGCGTAGAGGAAACATGGGTTAATGGTTTACAGTGATGAAGAGGGCATGGAGTAGTGGCATCAGCGTGTATCATGGCAGCCCCACCAGTGGTCACCATACCATACGGAGTATAGTTAGGTATCTAAGATGTGTGATACCAGAGGTGGTTGTTGCCGCAGAAGCTCAGTTCCACCCACAATATACTGTGCTGTTCACACGCTGCGTACAACAAGACGTTTAAGCAAAAGCAAAAATGAGAGAAGAAGAGAAAAGGCAGGCTATCAGGGCTATCATGGCGGCCTGATTCAAAATGATACACGCAGAGTAGCGTGGCAACCCGTTGGGTTCTTCATGCTGGACGATACGGATGTCCGTCTCTGCTAGGCCATAACTGTAAAATAAGGAAGAACCGAGTATATACGTAGTGCAGCACTAGACCGGCCATACTGGGTATCTGCCCATGGCTGGTGTGTGACTGACTACTGTCGCAGTAATAATATTAATAGGTCGTGATTGATGTGTCGTTGATGAATGATGAAGTGAAGAAATTCGCTAGTAAAAAAAGGAGGCGCTTTGAGGCTGAACGTTAACTAACCCCCACGTGGGGTGGGACTTATCTAACAGCTGACTAAGCTGTGTGGTTGAGCCGCAGGCGCCGGAAAAAGAAAAAAACTCCAAAACATCAAACATCAAACCTCATCCTCACCACCTGAAGTTCACACAACCAGCTTCTCCTGTTCCCTCAATTGCCTCTACTTCCACCCAATTCCATTAATTGAGTTCACCATGTTCTCCCTGAGAACTGCGCAACCAGCGCAGGTGTGTAATTTCTCCCCTCCCTAATTCAATTCAATGCAATCCAATTCAACTCTGTTTCATTCACCTCTTATCCTGATAACTGCCCCTCACCCACTCAGCTCCCATACTAACCTTTTATTTTGCCGTTCAAAGTCTCTTTTCCGCACTGTCGCAAAAACCTCCTCCACATCTCTCCCTCGATCTGCAATTGCTGCTAGATGTATGTGGAATTCTTACTCCAAACCTAAAACCCCCCGCGAGTAACACTAACATCATTCGCGCAGCATTCGCTACCATCCAGTCGAACATCTTCAAGCCTACCAAATATGGTGGCAAATACACAGTCACACTGATCCCAGGTATTTAAGCCTATCTCCCCTCCTTGTCCATTTGCGGAAACCTGACGATCCTGAAGGACATTGCGAATCTTAACTAGACCGCGCTTATTTTCTAACCTAATTGCTTTTGAACTCCAGGTGACGGCATTGGCGCGGAAGTAGCGGAATCGGTGAAGACAATCTTCAAGGCTGATAACGTACCAATTGAGTGGGAGCAGGTCGATGTTAGCGGTGTAGATGCTGGAAATAAACATTCGGAAGATCTGTTCAAGGAATCCATTGCCTCGCTGAGAAGGAACAAGCTTGGTCTCAAGGGTATCCTTCACACACCAGTTGAGCGATCAGGCCATCAATCATTCAACGTCGCCCTGCGCCAGGAACTAGATATATATGCGTCTATTGTTTTGATTAAGAACATCCCCGGTTACAAGACCAGACACGACAATGTCGACCTGTGCATTATCCGTGAAAACACTGAGGGTGAATACTCCGGCCTTGAGCACCAGTCTGTTAGTGGTGTCGTCGAATCCCTCAAGATCATTACCCGTGCCAAGTCTGAACGAATTGCCAAATTTGCGTTTAGCTTTGCTCTCGCCAACAACCGCAAGAAGGTCACCTGCATCCACAAAGCCAACATCATGAAACTCGCCGATGGCCTTTTCCGCTCCACATTCCACAAAGTTGCTGAGAGCTATCCAACCCTGGAAACCAATGACATGATTGTGGATAACGCATCTATGCAAGCAGTTGCTCGTCCTCAGCAGTTTGACGTCATGGTCATGCCTAACCTTTACGGAGGCATCCTCTCCAACGTTGGAGCTGCTCTCGTCGGTGGGCCAGGGATCGTACCTGGCTGCAATATGGGTCGCGAAGTGGCTGTGTTTGAACCAGGATGTCGACACGTTGGACTCGATATTAAGGGCAAGGACCAAGCTAACCCCACAGCTCTGATTCTCTCTGGTTCCATGCTCTTACGACACTTGGGTCTTGATGAGCACGCCAACAGAATCTCCAAGGCAGTTTATGACGTGATCGGAGAAGGGTAAGTCCAGCAATAAAAAAACACCCTGTTTATATACTTTTTTACAAGACCATCAGACGCCCCCAATTAAACTACCCCTGCTTAAGCCGATAATGTTTTGGTCTCTCCACCTTTTACTAACGCACTATTTTACAAAACCAGTGTCACCCGCACACGCGATATGGGTGGCCAAGCCTCCACTCACGAATTCACCCGTGCCGTCCTCGATAAGATGGAAGCAGCGCTTTAAACAGCGTAACTCAGCAAAACCGCACGTCCACTAAACCAAATGTATCTGTACTTATCCCTTCCTCCCCAACAGACCCCAACCCCCAGAGTAAATCGAACAAGGAAAAAAAAAACAAAAAGAAAAAAGAAATCCCTAGATAGACAATCGCAAAGGTTGGGATAACAACTGTGAGAAGGCCGAACCAACACCTAACCCATCTTAAAAGGTCCACGCTTCCACTCGCCAATATGCCCGAGAGGCTTGAAATCCGAGAACGATTTGCTTTTATCCCTCGTTTCTTTCTCCTTTTGTTAAAATCTTCAAACCCAAAATTTCACCTGGTCGTTTTCTGCTTTGGCTTGCCTTGTCTTGCATAGCGATTAGACATTTACCTTCCTCCCTACCCTTTCCCCTCCCCTCCCCTTCCCCAGGAACCCACCTCCCTTCCCAATATCTCTGCAATTGATGTATCAATCGTAAGAGAAACAGGACTGGGGAGGTGGAACTGGGGACTAGACCCAAAAAAAACTCAAAATCGACTCAAACAACCAAAGACCCTATTCATTTTCTCCATGTTCCTTGATTGATTCCTTTCCCCTTTATCAGTCTGCCCCCTTATCCCAAGTTAGCTTTCACGCAAAAACGTAACGCAATGTATAACTGTACATGTACGTCAGCACGACTTTTGCCCTCCTGCCTGCATTATGTTTTCATTTTCTTCATGCTTCATTGATTTATTTTCAGTCCCCGATCATGCTTGTCCATAGAAATTTCATCTATATCACTGTTAACTGTACATGAGAACCATATTTTCCTCTACATTGTTTTTTCTTTCTCTTATCTTTATCACCTTAGAGTTCTTGGTTATTTTTTCTCTTTGTATGAATTACAGAACCACGTACAAGAAAATGCAATTAAAGTATCCGTTCATTTTCTATTTCTCATATTTATTAACACGAGTTTTTGTCAGTGTAGCTATTTTGCGTGGAAATTTCCGTGGTGCTTCATTTCTACGTGCAATCTCTTCATCGTTCCTCTTTCACTTATCAAAATCTATTCAGTAAATAATGCGCATCTAAGCATGCACTCGTATGCAGGTACACGTCCAGACTTCTAGCAGCACATAGCCAACCAGAATGTCACCACGATAAAAATAGAAGCATAAATCATATGAACAAAGGCAGCGGACCCTACTACCAAATAATGAATCCAAACAGGTCCCTTCTCAGAATCGCCTATATTCCTTGGCATTCGTGTTTCCAGCAGAGTTTTCCCCCTTCCTTTATTTGCAAGAAACATGAAGACAAAAGCCTTAAAAAAATATTAATTCTTTTGCAATGGAAAAAGACTTTCGCCACGCTTTTTATACTCCCAGCTAGGCACGAGGCGGCTATGTAACATTCGCCCTGGATAACGCCCATCGAACCGCTGACCCTTACTTTGGTTTATTCAGATCCTATTCCGGATAGGACATAAATAGGTCGAAGGTTTAAAATGCTTCTCGGACTTTTTTAAGAGCCAGAGGCTCGGGAGCCGCAAGCGTGGAGGCGCTCAATCAGTTTATGGCTATGGGGCGAAGGTGGTCGGGGACGGAAAATTCAATGGTTCGTAGACGAGGCTCAAGAGAAAGGGGACAAAAACATGATAAGCAAAACGTGGAAAACGGTGTAGGAGGAATTTACCAGTCCATTCCATCCATCCCATCAGATTCTTTGGCTGATTGAGATTGGTCATCGCATAGCGTGTAGAATTTAATGAAATAGGACATATATATTGGCTATAGGTTTTGTTTTAGTTTTCCTTGTTTTTTGATTCGTATTTATTTTGCCTTTCATTATTCTCTAGCGTGTTGAGAAGTTAATTGATTCGCTATTTGGTTGCCGTAGCCCTCTCCCTGCTTGCTTTTTATTTCATTTTGTCTTGGTGTATTAAGTTTGGTTTTGGGCTGATCTCTTGAAAGATGTCTATCTCAACGCTCCGGGCATCGGGATCTCTCCCTCTATCCACGATGGCGAATAGATAGGGAAAAAATGTACCATGTGTTTTGAGAGATATAAACAGAGTCGAAACTCGTATCTTATGATAATTCTTTGTTTTCCTTAGGGGCGCGCCGTGGTGGAGTGCCATATACAGTTCGGAGAGTGGTTGGGGAGGGAATTACAACCCAAAAAGCCTTTAAATATTGGTTCGCAGCGGAAGAGTCGTAATGCCCAGGCTTTAGAGATAATGATAATCAGGTCGTTTTTGATAGAGCCTTTTGGTCATGCTGGGGTCGATAAAGGCCCAATCCATTTCGCAGCTAACCAGCAGGTGGCCGCCTCTGTACTTGGGGGAAATGAGATTTCGAGGTATGCGTGAGGCATTTTTCCCCAACATCGCATAGTTCGTTTCCGGGGTGATCGGCCAAAGGACGTGATAGGAGGAGGTTGTTACATGGAGGCCGGTCAGTCTCCATGTAGCCGTAGAAGCCACAATATAGGACCGTTTGAGCTGAGGGGACGTAATATATTTATATATAAAAAGAATTTCAAGGATAAGAGATCAAAAGGCAATACGTCTCTTTCGGCCAGTATACTTCGAATTCGGTTTGACGATCTTGCCCTTGCGTTCCATCTGCTCCTTTTTCCTCATAATCCAAGCTTTGGACCCTTTGACCTGTGCTGGGTTTACACCTCTTCTTCCCTGAGACTGAGCAGCCATGGCCTTCTTCCTCGCATCCAGAACATCAACATCATCCATGCCTTCCACGACACCGGTAATGTCGCCTTGCAGACCACCTCCACCAACAGTAAGCACAAGGTAGAGCTTGCTGTTCTTCGTCCCAGGGTCGTCTTCAAGAATACCAGCACCGAACCCAGCCTTCATGGCCGCCCCGCTAATCATGCTCCTCTGCGCATCGTTTTTAGGGTAAAACTGGCACACAGCGCGCGCACCCCGACGCAAACTCGCATATAGCCCATCAAAGAATCTTCGTAGCCGACCTTCCGGACTAACGTCACTAGATTCAGCATTACACAGCCACTGAATGGCACTGATGCTCACGGCTGCGTCAAATGTACCCGCACGGAACGGGATACCCTGCCCTATGTCCGCCAGAAAGAGGTCGCCCTCTACATCTCTCTGAAGCGCAATGTCCAGCATTGAGGGGGAGATATCCATACCAACCCAGGTGTGGGGACCGCCTTCGGACGGCGGGACGGCGGAGAGGATTTCGCCTGATAAGCCGGAGCCACAGCCAATGTCGAGGATTAGAGAGGGGGATTTGAGATCGAGGAGTTCGAGGGCACGGTGGGTCATGTCTGATTGAATGTTGCGGATTCGAGAAGAGGTGGTGTATTTGCGGGATTCGGAGTCATTGTAGAAGAGATCTGGGGGTCTATTTTTCAATGTAAGTGTTAGGGATTATGGTGAAATACGATTTAGATTTCTAGGTATCGGGGTTTTGTAGGCATACAGAGTGTCTTCGGGACGAGACATTGTGAAATTTGAATTTTTCGAGCACTCGTCGTATTTTGGATATTCCGGCGAACAAATGGACAATAGTATTATTTCCCGTCTCTTTTCCGCTTCTTCGTATTAATATGTAGTTACCCTTTTTCTTCTATCAGGTCCGTAAATAGCTGCAGTAACTGAGATATATCCAGGATGTGAAGTGGTATGAGCGGTTTGTGGGATTGGAATAGCGCAGAAAGAAAAATTCAGTGTGGGAATTTAAGAAAATTGACTTGGTCGTTGCCTTTTTCCTCTTTGGGACAGACTTCATCGTCATCATATTTACATAAATATTTGGCTACAAAGACCAGACCGACCCAACGAACAGATATTTTTTACGTTTATTGCTCTGCAGAACAGCGTCGATTCCAACACAAACAACGGAATGACACTTCATTCGTGTATACCTTGATTTCGCGCGCATCTATCTCCTCCCCCTACAGCAAACACAATATACCATATCCTCCCGCCGCAGCCATGTGGATTCTGCCCTTGGTCGGGTACCTGGGTTTAATCGTCGGGTTCGCATTCCTAACCCTCGCCATAGGTAAAAAAAGAAAATAATAAACCTCCCACATCTATACAAAGACATGTAATAAACTAATAAATACTCGCCCAGCCTCCGGCCTCTATTACCTCTCTGAGCTTGTCGAAGAACACACCGTGCTCGCGCGCCGCCTCCTATCCCGCCTGATATACTTCATAATAGCCCTCCATGTCCTCCTCTGCCTGGTTGACCAGCTGCCCTTCACCCTCTGCGCGCTCAGCGTAATCTCCCACTTAATCTACGCGGCCAATCTGCGCCGCTTCCCCATCGTTAAGCTCACAGACCCCATCTTCATCACCTCCTGCCTTCTCGTCGGCCTCAACCACTGGCTCTGGTTCCGCTACTTCTCAGACCCAATATCAGCCCAGCCGTCCAGGTCCATGCCCTGGTCAAAAGATGCGGGCAGCAATACCCGACAGTCATATTACTACGGCGCGGTGACAGATCTTCCGTCGTTTACAGAGGTAGCGTCTTACTTCGGGCTGTGCGTTTGGCTAGTACCATTTGCGCTGTTTGTGAGCCTGAGCGCGGGTGAGAATGTGCTGCCGAGCATGGGCTCTGAGTATGCGACTGGGGCCACGGCGGCGTCGTCGCTGGCTGATCGGGATGCGAAACTAAAGAACAAGGGCATGGCCAAGGCATTGGTCGATGGTGTGCGGGAATGGATGGGGGATACGGGCGAGCTTATGGGGTTTTGGAGGGGGGAGAAGACGAGGAGGTTTTAATGGACCTGCTTGTTCCTTGGTTTTATTTATTCATTACCACCTCTCTGATTTTCGCGGGCGAGTTAAATTGTGGTCGATTCCTCTTTTACTGAAATGGCGAGCGTATAAACCATTTTAATGCATCTACTACCTCCGAAATTCCTTTTGCTCTTTCCTTGACGACTGATTTGAATGTTTATGACGTGTTTGAACTGCGCTGCATGGGGACTCACACTGTATATATATTGTATTATCGACGTAAATGCACCAAAACTAATTACTTAATAATTGTGTTGAAGAAGTGGTGTTTTAAGAGGAGGAAAGGAGGAAAGTTTACGGGTTATCATCGTTATGGTGTGCTGCGCACAAAGTCCACTTGCCTTGGTTGTGGGACACTTCCCGGTAGCCAACCGAAATACCACATTATTAATTGATTAGACTCAAGAGACTGCTACCAAGGACCATTTAGAACGGGTCCATCCAGAAATCTGGCATCACAACTTCGTAGCGAAGGTTTCTTTTCGTGCCTGAGTCCCATTTCCTTAGCAGCGATTTTCTCTGGAATGCCCCCTCATATTGTCCGGCATCTATGTAGTTATGTAACTTGCTTTTGCTCCTCGTCGGGATGACATATCCGTATATGCAGAATCATACGGACTATTCGGATAGCAGAACATCAAATGCGGGGCCGTAGATTAGACAGCGTCGCCTCGAGAAGCATAATCAAGGCAGAAGAGAGTCGAGATAGCACAGACCAGTGAGTAGTTGCATGTACTGTACCTTCTGTCCCGGCTATCCGTTCCTAGCTATGGTGCACGTCTCCGCTTGGATTGGATTGAGTTCCCTGGTAGCGACGTCTCTCGAAAAAGTCAAACTGACATACGAGAGTGCCGATGCCTTTGTATAAACAGGTTCCCTCTGCGAATACCTAAGCACAGCTTGTGTTGGTGGAAATAGTATGCTGGAGAGAAAACATGTACGTAAGATAGAAAACGGGCGACTGCATGAGATTAGGAACAGTCGACGCTTCATGTTTCGATTCAGCCAATATCAACCGGACTGCTGACCGTCTGGCTGTCTGACTATCACTACCCGCTGAGAATTCACCCTCATTGCTTTACCATATCTGGAGCTGTGTTACACACCGGGCGGAATGTATGTATATACCACAGGAATCGTGCATCCTTTCGGCACCGAAAAAGTATGCAGGGCATGCCGATTCACGGATTTGAAGTCCTGTCAAGTGCAATTGATCAACTTTAATGAGAATATATCCGAGGATCTGCCGTCCATGCTGTCCGTCCGTTCCCAAAGATGCGCTCCCCAAGCCATAGCGAGTAGTAGTACTCTGCGTAGGCAGGGGACATTAGGTAGGATAGATATATCAGTTCAGATATACTCCGTATGCGGAGTATAAAACAGTGGACAAGACGACGGCCCCACAGCGTGCTTGGATCTACACAGGGAAAAGGGACACTGACAGGCAGATCCGTGGACTGTGGACCGTGGGATATACGAACCATTCCAAATAATAATAATAACCTCTGCTCTGGGTATTGCCATATTGATGAATCTCGCAGAAAAACTTAGCAAATCTTCAGGAAAAACTTTAGAAAATCTCGTAGGCAAGTTTAACCCCCTGACATAAGCAAGCCCTAGCCCTAGTCCTAGCCCTAACTCACTCTCGCCCTTTTCAGCCGCAGAAACCTCAACATCCTTAAATCTTCTTCGCCTGTTGGTTTGCTAATAACTTGCTGCTGGTGATATTTTAATAACAACTCACGATGATTTATTTATGATTTATGATTTATATGATCCTTCTCAACATCAGCAGGGATGGACAACTTGTCTGGCCCAACGCCTTGTCGTGTTTCAGCCGGTTGCAGCCAATGGGCTCGGCGGTTGGTTCCTAGTCATCTTTTAGGCCCTGCCAGTGCCTGTTCGCCACGTCCGTCTTGAAAAAATTAAAATAAAATAAAATAAAATTATGACTATTGGTGTCTTTGTGAGCTATACCTTGTTCCGTTCCCGCGCCAGGGTCTGTCTCTTTTCTCCGATCCGCTCTTTGTGTGGGTTTAATATCAAATCCGTAATCAAAGTGTCGGCGCCCAGTCTGCAACCAATCTCCCTCCCTCCCCTCCCAGTCTGTCACAACGGTACGGTACCTGGCAGGCTTCACGGGGAATCGCTTCCTTCGTTTTGCCGCTCCTTTGTTTAAATAACTCCCGGCGCAAACACCGGGCATTCCGTGTTCATCTGGGCTCTACACCGGTATAACCCGGTGAATGACATAAAAATAAAAAAATTCGCCGTGTTGCAGAACAATAATGAGGCGGGGGGTTTTTCTTGGTCCTCTTGATCTACATTTTTTCTTTTTTCTTCTTCATCTCTTTTTGATAACGCCAAAACTCATCGCGCTTTGACTGCGATTGGGATTGTCCCTAATCCCAGACTCCAATGGCACGCCAGCGGTGACTTTTCTTAGCCCCAACTTCCAAGTGGTTGGCAAATGCCCCCACAGGCCCGCGCGATGATGTTCTAGCCAATTGGACATTTTCTGCTCTGTCCTGTCCGTGGTTAACCTTCAATGAAGACCCGCCATGAACCCTTGGCTAGAAGCCTTCTGTCTGCCATGCTTCGCATAGCATAGCGAGGGAGAGTTAACAGCCGTTTTATACCCAGATTACTGAACCGTGGCTGCAGCACACGTCACCCACTCGCCGCGTCAGGTACCGGTTGTTGCCCACCAATAGTACCGCCCCTGTTCCTGAATTTTCGGGCCATAATGGCGAGGTTCCAGGCTTCAAGGGCGATTTCACCACACCCCCTCAGTGCCCTCCCCCGGGGGGCGAGAATTGATAGTTGGACCGGTCCCAAGGCCAGCAATCAATCACTTTTCCGTTTATGTCTCCCAGATCTGGGTACTTCCGGTTGCTGCAATCTACCTGGCACCCGTGTCTTGGGGATGTTCAGAGGCGGGAAGCCACTTCCTGGGCGTAACGCCAGGCCCTGGCGCTTGCTCAACCAGGATCTCCGGGGCGTATATAAAGACCCTTGCATTCCCACCGGCGATGGCTTTTCGTCAATTTATCCCTTTTATCCGTCCCTTCCTTTGCGTACAGCAGACCACCACACTCCTTATATTTTCCACCACTTCTGGTCTCTGCACGATATCAAAAAGATAGAAAAAATCCACATTCGCTTTCTGACGCCGGCGTTCAAATAACATATATACATATACATATATCCAACTACATACTCATCCTTCCTTTCGTCGCAAGCATGCAACTGAAAACCGTCATCGCTCTCCTTGGAGCTCTTGCTCCCCTCAGCCTGGCCCAGCCCCATGGCCACCACCACCGTCACATCTCCAAGAGACTTGAATGGACCACCGTCGTATCCGACATCTTCACCACCGCCGGCTTCGGTGGCCGCGCCGCCGCCAACACTGGGAGCATCGACACCTACTCAGGCAACGTCGGCAACCCCTGGGGCAGCAACATCATCGAGGTCTCCGAAAGCGACGCCTCCAGGTACAAATACGTAGCACAAATCAAGGGCCAGAACACAGAGCCATGGACTGTCGTCTTCTGGAACAAAATGGGCCCAACCGGCAAGCTTGATGGCCACTACGGCAACAGCGCCCTTACCTTCACCCTGAACGCGGGCGAGACCAAGTATGTCGCCTTCGACGAGAACACCCAAGGCAGCTTTGGCGCCTACCCTGGCGACAGCCTGCCCAAGAACAACTATGGCGCATACGCGTGCACGTGGGGTGAATTCGACTTTGGTAGCACACCCAACAAGGGCTGGTCTGGATTTGACGTCTCCGCCATCCAGGCACAGCTGTCCAATATGCCAGTGCAAGGCATGAAGATGTGCGAGGTTGGCGGTGTTTGCTCGACTGTCACTGGAGCTGGAGGATTCGATAATGCCTACGCGGCCAAGGACCATGCCATTGGTGGCATTGGGGGCAACCTACCTCCTGGCCCTGTCCGCCTTGAGGTTATCATCGCCTACCAGGGATAAAATAAAGAACTGGGGAGGGAGTCCACTTTAGAATATCCTGGTTGATATATGCAATACCCGAGTCATTCTTTTGACTATTATTGACCATTATACTTTCATTCTTTCAATGTATATATTTTTTTATCTTATCACTCTTTTTTTGACTATGAACAGAGGCGTCTGCGGTGGGAAACCCGTTTTTCTGTCCATACATATATAGGAAACGGGTTAAAAGGCGTTTAGATATGCGTCTCGAAAAATATTTCACAAATCCATTCGCTTACTTCCTGTTCAGTCAAAAAAAATAAAAGGAAGGAAAGAGATGATCAACTACATCCCTCTCCCCCCTTTTTTGTTTTTGGGTATCAAATAATAATTAACCGGTCACCTACCTGCCTGTCAACTAGGAAAATGGTGCATGTCCAACATGGATGCATGCCACCGTCTTCCGAGTTCTGCCCCTGCATATCCGGGTAAGCTCCCTTTCCGATCCATGGATCCCTCATGGCATGGGGTGGAAAACTTTCGTGTATGCTCGACGGCGATTGTAGCACACTTACGCAGCGTAGTATTTACATTTAAATTAATAATAATAATAATAATAATAATAATAATAATAATAATAAAATTAAAAATTAAAAAATTAAAAAAAAAAATTAACAAAATGGGCGAGAAAACCCAACTAGTATAATAATCTTTTCTGTATGCCTTACATCTCTGCTCTCAAGTATTGATCTTGTCTTGTCTCGCGCTCTTGTTGTCTATAGCTTCGCACAATATATGCCAACCGAAAGCTAACGGAAAAGCAGAAAACAAGCGGAAGGAAAAGAAATAGAAGAGTCGTGCCACCGCTGCAGAGGATTGATACGGAATAGAATGAGATTGAAAAAAGAGAAAAACGAAAAACGAAATCGAAGTTCTGGAGGAAAGAGAGGTAGTATTTCCCTGGCGCTGCAGAAGTGTAGGAAGAATCAAAGAAGTAGGAAAGAAATCATTTCATATGATGGGAAAAATGGGGGTGAAAAAATTGAAAATAGAAAATAGGAAAGAAAATGCTATAAGCGGAGGAGAGAAGAAAGACTACATCACCATTCACTGCTGATCAAAAAAGACAAAATAGAAAGGAAGAAAAAGACCAGACCAGAAAAGAGGAAAAGAGCAGCAAAACCAGAAAGAAATATACTGTACAATCCTCTCTTCCTCAGTTGCGATCCTCCAATATGGGCCACAAGCCAGTGGCGGTCTCATCCTTCAGAGAGCAACAGGGCAAAACCAGGAAAGGCCAAGAAAATGAAATCGAATAAAAAAATTAAAAAAAATAAAGTCGAAGAAAGAAGAAAAGATAAAGCAAATTAACAAGGAGGGAAAAAAGAAAAGCACAGGGTATAAAGGTATAAAATCAAAAATAATAGCAGAAGAGAAGAGGAGAGAAAGAAAAGAGCCTTCCAGCGATCATCCGTTTCCTCTCTCGAAAAAAAGGATAAATCGCCAGGAAATTACCCGCAGGCAGACAGCGGAATTAGAAAATAGAGCATCAAATCATCCATACATCCATACATCCATCCCTTCACACATTAAAATTACATAACTCCATTCCTTCCTTTCCATTTCTTTCATTCTTTTCATCTTTTCTTTCGTTTCTGTTCTCGGACAAAGGACTTCCTTTATCCACATTTGGTCCAGCTGGGAGTGGCGGGGAAAGAGGAAACAGGCATACTATTAAAAGAGAGGGGAACAAGGCGGGAAATTGGGAGAGAAAAATACCAATAAACACAACGCAAAGCCAGGCGTATGTAATATGTATATCCATCCCAACCGCGCTCTCTGTCCCCTTCGTTCCACCGCCACGATTCAAAGAGAAAAAAAAAATAAAAAAAATAAAGAACATGAAGCGTCTGTTATCACTCAAACGCGGAGTCTTCAGATACCATAGCTATTTCTCACACAAGATAAGGTTAGCATTCATCACAAGGTACTACTCCAATCTACTCATCTAAAACCAACCAACCAAAAAAAATATAAAATATAAATAATAAAAAGAGAAAGGCTTAAAAGGGAGAAGGGAGGGAAGGGGAAACAAAGAAAGGGGTCAAACAAAATTTCACCTACACCGCTCATCTCTTCCCCTCTGCCCATTACCCATTGCACCTTTTTTCCCCAAATTCATAAAGAGCAAATTACTCTCTCGCCGCTTCGCCTTACTCGTCACATTATGACTAGAACCATTATTTCCATCGTCGTCATTATTATTACCAGATGTCGATATGGGCGGCGGCATCAGACTACTCATGGAGTTATACGGGTCCGCACCCAACATCTGCTGCTCATAGGTGGGCTGCATAGGTATAAAGCCCGTGTTGTCGAATTTGTCGCGCGAGCGGTCGCGGTCCCGCTGCTGGTCCCATTGCTGTTGGGTGGAATGGGCATGTTGAGCTTCCTGCGGCGTCAAATCCGACCGATAGCGATGTTGCGGTGCCGGTGACGACGACTGCCGGAATGACGTTTGGTTATAGGACGGGGTCGGCAGGTCGGAGAACATTTGATGGCGGGGTGAGCGTATATCTTCCGGGTTCAAGGACTTGTTGTCTCCGAATAGTTCTGCAGGGCCGGCGTTGTGTATGGAAAACTCCGACACGGGTTCACCGAAGATGCTTTCAAAGTCTGTGAGGAACATTGAGAAGACTGGGGCAGGAATGTTGAGGGTTGGTGCGAAAACGATGCCGACATTGCGAACGGTCATTTTGTTTACGTCTGAGTTGTTGATGATGTCAATTAGGTATTGAGACAGGGCTTTGAGGAGTGTCAGGTTTGGTCTGGGGAGACGGTGAACGAGTCCGTTAAAAGCGACTATTTTCTTCTGTTTGTCATCGAGATCTATATTATATTTATCGTCAGTCAGTGAATTCCGGCATTTCAAACAAGTAGACCGCTAACGAGAACTCACCAAGCACCCGAATAAAATCCAAATGCAAGTCTCTAGTCAGTACCGTCGTCGGCAACTCGCGCAGATACTGCTTGAACAAGGACGCAACAGCGTGAACATCATAATACGTATCGCCCTCCAGAAAGTCCAAATCTCCCTCTGTATTAAATTTCTCCTTAAGAGCTCTAATCACCACATTCGAGCCGCTGAGACGGAAAATGCCCTCTTCCAGCGCCGCATCCTTCACGCGCAGGTAATCAATGCACCGGTAAACAACCGCCGGAAGGCCTGTATTAAGCCCCGGAACCCCACAAAACTCCACCGCCTCTGCGAGGGGCAGCCCAAAGACCGCGCGAACCGCCTCTCGCCGCTCAATTGGGGAATTGCTGTTGCTAGTCTCGTGATTCTGTATCTGGTTAGCTAACTCAGCTGTTGACGCAGCGCGAAAGCCCCAGATGGAGCGTTTCTTCTCCTTCGTGGTCATCGGCGGGGGAGCTTTATTTCCCCACGCCCCGGCATCCTGGATTTTGGCTCCGTTGGTTGGGCCGGAGATGCTTTTGAGCGATGGAGACTGCGGCATATTCTGATCCCATGGAAGCTGATACCCTGGTTCCGGTAACCCAGCGGCGGCGGCCGCGCCCCTGCCCGGAGGAAGGACACTACCTGGCGGCCCGCGGACGGGGGCCTCAGCGGCGACGACATCGTCGTAACTAAATGAGCGGAGTTTATCGCCGGGTCCAGTTTCCTCAGGGCTATCTGTATCCTTGCTATTCTTCCTCGCACTGCCGTGTAGTAGACGACTCTTTGACAGCCCATCATGTTTTGAAGGTTGGCGATGAGACCTGGAGCTCTCCTCCTCGTCCGACTCTTGCTCAACATAGCTCAAAAGAGCCTCAACCCACGAGTCCCTCTCCTCATCGCTCTCAGCACACAATACATGGCGCACAAGAGCTGAGGAGTCCTTCTTCTTAGGCTCCAGAATGAGAAACGCGTGGCGATACTGGTTATCCAAATCGTCATCCAACCGTGATGGTGACTGATTGCTGTTCGCCGACTGAGACTGTTTGCCGATCTGCGCATGGCGAATCTTGATGGTTCCCATATGCGGACCACCGGGGGATTCATAATACTTCAGCTCCGGCCCATCGAGGACGAAGTACCTCGCTTTCCACCCACCGAAGTTCTTCCCTCGCTTTGTCAAATACCCTTCGATCCTCGGCTTCCCGTCAGGCCCCAAGGGATAAGACCGTTTCCCCTTGTGCTCACCGTTGATGAGGCTAGTCTCATCATCGCGCGGCTCAATAGCATCCGCCGTCAAAAACTGGCATATCACCAACGCACCCGCCTCGTCCATCTGCGTCTCAAGGATAGACTCAAAGTAGCCATTCAAGGCAGCTCTGCGCGCATCGACCTTGGCTGGGGAATGGCCGCTGAAGATGGACCGGTCAGGCAAGCGCCCAGCGAAGTTCGACATTGCTTGTTTCAATTGTTGATCCAACTGCGGCAAGGCTAGGATAACTTTTTCTACCCGCCATAGCTCCGCGCGGTTAGCCCGCGAGAACACACTGAGCGTGAAAACGGGCTCTTCGTCTGTAGGTTTGAGGGCCAAGTAGCTGTTACGTGACGGTCGTAGGCGGGACGAAGAAACTTTAATGTCAATAGAGGGTAGAGCGTTGGGAGGGAGAAGTAGATCGGGGTGCTGATCCGACACCAGGCCACGATATATGCGACTTTGGAAGGTCCCTGGAGACGTTGGGCTATCGATCTTTACGGAAGCGTCGAAAGTAGGGATTTCCTGCCTGGGAGCGTCGTTTTGCACGGGAGGAGGAATGGAAAGTTCAGCTGGTTTAGTCGGAGAATTCTTGCCCGTAGTAGCCGCAACAAGATTAGCAGGCCCCGAGAACGGAGGCGCGGGAAACCTTGTAGCTCGTGGTGACACTGGAAGGCCGTTCCTAGGTGAGATGGGCGGCGACGCCATATTACCGTGGCCGTCCTTCGGGAAGCGTGGAAGTGGAGAGCCCAGCGGGCGATCTCCTGGTCGTGGGCTTAGTGGTAAGCCGGGACTCATTGGAGGGGATAAGGCCAGTCTATCTTTTTCCGACGACGCAGCGTCACTCGCCGGGGGGCTCAACATTGTTGCAAGAGAATCAAGTGGAGGAATTTGTTGCGCAAGCCCAGGAGGGGGTGAGTGGGCAACCATGCGATTCCCCACAAACCCCGTCCCACCAAACACTCCTTGTGGTGGATGGGAGTTTTGGGGTAAGTCGGGGGGATGTGCCATTTTCGCTTTCATTTTACTGGAAGCGCTGCGAGCAGCTTTCTCCTGGAGCAGAAGCGCTTCACGTTGTCGATCGTCCTCTTCCCTAGTTTTTCTCCTTCCTCGACTCTCCATTCTGGGAATTCCATCAGTGTCCAAATTATCATCGTAATCCGAGTCATCCCCAACAGCTACATTCACCCGCTGAGTTTGGGCATGAACACGTTCAGTTTGGCTGAGATTTAACGGGGCAGGGGGGGGTCTCCTGAGAGGAGGTGGTGTCTGTTTCAGGAGATCACCAGTGGGTAAACTTGCAGCAGACGTGCTATTCGAAGACATATCAGTGTTGTTAGTCGTGCCACTTTGTTTGTCATACACTAACGGGTCAACGGGAGAATCGCGAAGCTGCGGGCGGTTTTGATTGTCGTTGTTTGCTGGCTGTTCTGTTCGAGCGCTGTGACTATGGCTTGAGGGATGGGAGTTTGGGGTACCGCCTCTGGTAAGCTGAGGGTCAGCATGTGAGTGCGATTGGAAGGTTGCAGGCTCATCCAGTGAGCGCGGCGTAGTTGTATCCGATGGTTTTGTTCGATCGTGTTGAGAGGGTGAATCTAGATTTCGGTCAGTCAGAATGTACGAATTGCCTTGAATAAATAAGAAAAGAGGCAACGATGGATTCCAAGTTGCTATGTTTTGTCCTACCCTTAGATGACTTGCTGTCTCCTTCAACAGTAGGGCCACCACCCACAGGCGCAGTTCGTTCAGGCATTGGTGGAGGGTTGGCCTGTAATTCCTTAAGTTTCTTCCTGTAACGATCCTTATCCTTCATTGTACGTTCGAGATCCTTATTCAAGCCGAGAACCATGGTGCGCTGCTTATCAACCAGTCTCCACAGCTGAGCATTCTGTGACGCAGCCTGTTGCTTCTCCTTGAGTAGATGAATAATGACGGCCTCAGCGGAGCCGGCAGTGGAGATGAGATTGGCGATCTCCTCTGGGGTGACATTATTCACTTCGAGAGAAGATTTGTGCGAGTGGGCGGATGAGATGGATGAGATGGCTGAATCGATGGAAGAGGTGCGTGGTATCGTTCTGATGCGATCTCCCACAGCAGATGACAGGGTCGGGTTGGATAAGGGCGGAGAAGGGGAGACCGAACTGGGCGAGGTAACACGACGGCCACCATTATTACTATTATTATTATTGCTATTGCATGTATTATTGTTGGTGTGATCATTATTACTGTTCATGGTGACTGGGCGAGGCGGATCCGATGACTTTCGCAATAGGTCGTAATAGGAGGACTTTGGCATATTCCCATTGGCGCCCCGCAGATGCGACGAGCCGGTCAGTCGATCTGGGGGTGAGGGTTTGCACTGCAGCGCCTCTGCCGACTGGTTCGGGATCGGGTCCGTGTTGGATGGCTTGGTGTTGATAGAGGAGGATGCGGCGGCGGCGGCGGCGGTGGTGATGGTGGCGGTCGTAGTAGGAGGAATGGGAAAGGCCGATACTCGAGCGAACGTTGAAACGGAGAGAGGAGAAAGAGGAGGCGGAGGGGATCGTGGAGATATGGGAGAGGTGCAGGATGAAGTAGCTGAACGAGGAGCCCTGGGAGGAATGGATTGAGGCGAGGTTGAGGTGGGCGAGTCCTCCTGGCTCAGAGAAGGCGATCGAGTAGTAAGCGCGGAACCTGGAGGTTGGGAGGATGAAGCAGACGAAGGAGAAAGAGGGGATAAATGAGGGCGGTTCCTGGGGTTGTAGAGTGTCGTCGTCGAGGCGGGCGCTTTGGTGGTGGTACGGATAGGGGAGAGAAGGGGGACTTGAGAACGGAGGTGCTGGGTGTGATGGATGCCAGTAGTTGAATAATTGCTGGTATTATTAATATTAATATTATTATGATTATTATGATTATTATGATGGTGAGGATTGCTGCTAGACGAAGGGACGACGCCTGTATTCCTTGTATCGCTGGGGCTGGCGCTTGAGCTGGGAGCATCTGCACGTTGGGTCAAGTAATCCCTGGGGATCAGGGGAGCGGGCATCAGGGGGGACAAGGCGTGTTTGAAGGGGTGGAGGGGGAGGGGACCAGCTTCATCAGAAGACGGGGGGGAATAGGGAGCGTAAGGGTTAGGGATGCTGCTGCTGCTGCTGTTGTTGTTGTTGTTGGTGGTGGTGGTGGTTGAGGTTGTGGTTGTGTTGGTGGTGGTGGTGTTGTAGGGGCGAGGTTGGTGATGTTGAGGCTGATGATGGAGTTGGAGTCGCTGTTGGTGGTGGTGTTGGCGCTGGCTGAGGCTATCCTCGCTGGGTTGCCGCCGGACTTGCGACATGGCTGCAGAATAATAATAGTTAATGAATTGGAGACGGAATACGGATAAAGTTAATAATAATAGTAGTAAGTTAGTTAATCACAGGCTGCAGCAACCCCCCAGACAAGCGGCGGTTATTTAGCTGGGAATTAGGTTCTTGCAACCCGAATAGTTAATAATGGTTAATGCTGTCTGAATATTGATATTTTCCACACTCACTCACTCCCCCCATTATATCAGGAAGATAGGCCCCAAAACTCCAACCAATCTTCAATATTCAAATTCGCTGCTCCTTGAGCCCCAATTCTTAGTTCCCTGAAACTATGAACCGCCAACAGTTCAACAACACTTCCAACAAATCCCCCCAAAACTTCCTTGCCGGTCTTTTGTTTGATATCACCACGTCAAGCCTCCCGAGTTGGGCAACCAGAGCGATCGAACGGACGGAAATGACAGGAGGAATAGCTCACCGGACTACTGCTGCTGAGCTGCTGGGCTGCTGGGTTGCTGGATATCTGGAAACCTGGCAATTGGCAGGACAGCGGTTGTGTATAAACCATGAGAGATGAGAGGGACAAAAAAAGAATAAGAATTAAGAGAGTAGAAGACAATGAAAAAGTTGAGAAGACAACCGTCCAGCAGAAAAGCTTCGCTTTTTTTCCTTTTCCCTCCAGGCACAATGAATTAGTTATGAGCAGGAAGATCCTTTCTTTTTTTCTTTTTTTTCTTTTTTCTTTTTTTTTTTTTTTTTGCTCACTGCGTATCTTTCGTTTTAACTACTGGTGCTATCTGGTGCTGATCAATTGCCTAACTCACAGCCATAACAAACAAATGATAATCCGTCACTCCTCAACTCTGTCCTCTTTCTCTCGTCCTGATCAAAGGGACCTTCTGCCAATGATACATTATTATGCCTGGCCGGAAGAGTCGTTAACTAGCTACATACAAGAAGAACCTGCCATGATCATGCAGAAGCCTCGTCAAAGTAGAACGAACACAACAACTATCATATATATCAACACTGCCATGGATATCTTACAATTTCTACATATGCTGTGAAACAATTCAGTCATCTCTGACACATTCGATGCTACAGGAGATTCTGACTTCGGCATCGCTGTCCGCTATTAACTAATGTCCAAAGCTCCCTGGATAGCAGCTATATATAGATATGGAGAGCTCGGTGGCAGTTGACACAAATCGTTTCAGAACAGCTTTTTTTTTTTTTTTTTTTTTAAACACCCATCCGAAAATAAGATCGAGCGATGATCAAAGCTGACAAGCTATGTATGTGAAAAGAGAGGAAAAAAGAAGGGGAATAATGGAGACATTTGAACACACAGTTGGATTCTTATCAGCTTCTCCGTATGGAGAATAGTATGGAGTACTACGTAGTAGTTAACTAGTTAATCGGGGCGCAATATTTATCTCGAACAACCACCCTGCAGGCGACGGAGCTGCAACTATTATTTCTGCAGGCAAAACTCCTGACTCCTGACGACACGACATGCCAGTGAGTGGGTGAAATAAATCATTTCATCCTTTATCTTCTTCACCATGATTCATCAACTGTGATCCTCCTAAGATGTAACTACAAGACCTAAATATAGGCTGTACACACGAACCGAACTCACTCACAATAATGTCTCTCCTGTCCTTAGGAAGAATAAGTTAGGCCACCAAAGCTATTACACCGCTGTCTAGGCTCTCGCTTCTCCTTTGAGTCTAGACAGCGGCGCTGGCACCGTGGATCCAAGCTCGCGTAGTGAAATTATATGCTGCGTTCTGGCGTCTCTAGCGCCGTTGATGTTTGATTTTTGATTTTTTTTTTGGGGGGGGGGCCGGGAAAAGGGGAGACAAGGGGAGACAAGGGGAGACATATCATGAAGAGAGAACTCACTCTGTAATGTGGGATGGGATAATAAAAATAATCACGGATCAGTTTGTTTATGCAGGTCCAGGAGTTAATGAAAAAGCTCAGGCTTATTACTTTTTTCCCAATTGAATAGTAACAAATGCATGCAGGGAACTTCCATGCAAATTCCTCGACACATGCAAGTAATAATAGTTACAGGTTATTTTGCAGAGAGTTTCCCCGTAGTTAATCAGCCTGAAGGTTCCCAATCATCCAGGCCATGTTCTCCCCACCCTGCTCTTCGCATTCTCTCCCTCTCTTCCCCCCGGTGTGTTATGCAAGGTACCGCCTTAGCCCCAATACTCCCGGGCCTGGATATCCCTGGAGGCCCCAGAATGGCCCCTCGGTGGGTGATGGATGAAACGAAGACCGACCCATCCCCATGATGATGATGGCGTATTAAAAGGGGGAAAATAAGGGGCGGCGCCAAAGGAGATGAGGGTCTAGAGAGATTCAACGAGTTAGATTCCTCTATTTCTTACCTCTTCTGGTGCTCCATTTGCGTATATATCCCATACTTCGTACTCTATAAACACCTCCCCCTAATATTTTAGTGGCAATGGCATGCTAACCTAACCATCATTCCGGGGGGAGTGTCTTCAAATATCCCCTTGCAGCATACAGAATAGGCTTTCTGATGATGCACTTTGAGAGATGGTTAGGAATTCATGGGACTCTATAACAGAGGAGCAGTTACAGAAGCTTTATAGCAGAGATACCTTGCTCACTCTCAGACAGTTATAGAGTCAGGGGGTGGGCTATATAAGATATTACTAATATTATGATTGATTCCATGATGATAAACACTTTCGAACAAAAGAACCCATAATGATGATTAGTATTGCCACTAATAAAATATTAGAGAGGCCTGTCTCTAATGAAAATATGATTTCGTGCCAATTCTTCACCTCTTGAATGTGTCATGCACAGACAGAATGGTTACATTCATCACATGGAATAGTATGTATAGTTACTCTGCTACATAGTTACACAAAGCACAGGAAACAACAAAAGCAACTGGTATTTTGAAACAAGTAGTTATCAGACACTTTAATTACCACTTCTTCACATCACCATATGTCTATCACCATATGTCTATCAGTATAGTTAGTGAGTTGTCATATTATGTTATAAACTTCCTGCTCTGTACAGGATTCCTCCTATACAAATTTTGTTGAAGTTATTTGATGAATTTAATATAAGATTCCCAACATATTATCCTACATAACGCACATGGCCTAAAATGGATAATTTAAACTCATGAAAGCCACTTATTGTTTGTATTTATATTTTGATTTGGAGATTCTATTTCCAAAGATGGCTACAATATTCTCATCGCATGCGTACTCCTCAGTTAAGACAATCGCCTAACTTCCCTTTGCGTAGGTCAAGGTCAAGGGCAATGGCAATGGCAATGGCAAGGATGCACCACATTCCATCATTCATACGTCCCTCTGCAACTCCCTATCATCAAACTCCAGGTCTTTCATCGCATCATCGACATTTACTTCAACACCAACATTGATGACAGGAGGTGAGACACCCTTGAATATAGCTGCCCATTCCGCGGACAAATGTCCGTTTTCAGGGCCTCATTACCAGCCGAACCGCCAACAGCAAGCCCCTTGTCTGGTGGCGATCCTAAAGCATTATTGCTGAGATCATCAAAATCAAGGTCAAAGCCTTGCATGGCATCTGGGAACATCTGGTCCAGGTCCAAATCCATTGAGATGAGTGGCACTGATGAGAAGTCTGGGAGAACTGAAGGTACGGAATTTCCGGCGGTTGCAGGAAATGAGTTGGGTGACGAAGTTTCTGGAGTGGTTGGAGTGATCGCTTGCAATTGGCTATATGTCAACGCTGATAATGGTCATGGTGGAGATCGTGTATCGGATTCTAGCGGTGCCTCTACGCGGTGCTGATGTTGGTTATCAGGGGATGCTGATGGCGACGAAGTCTCATCTCCTTCTTTCCCAAAAGCCCAGGGGCTCAACCACGAAAGTTCATGCAGCGTCATCCGACTGCTGCTATGCTTCTCATACCATACCACGTTTTCAGCTTTTTGAAAACCATCGTCAGTCTCGCTGCAGGCCATAGTTCGCCCCATCCCGCGAACATCTGAATCAGCGCTTCCAACCACTCGGAGACTTGAAGGTTGCAGTCGGCGTGTTGTTTCGTATCATCCGTTTGTTTTTGCTCTATGGCGGCGAAATGGAGCTTTATGAGCATGATTGCCATGTAGATCGTTCGGATGAAATACACTGTTGGCATGGCACGGATGGCGGACATGTCTAGTGAATGGATACTATGGAGTAGATGATGGAGTGAGTCGACACATGTAGAAAAGGCTGGTGTGCTGATGGGTATTTTCTGCGATGGCTGTTCGTCGAGAGAAGAATGGGAACGTCGCGAGGCCAAGGTCATGGTACTTCTCTGAGTACACAGATTTGCAGAATGCCTCGAGAAATTGAGAATTTCTGGGAGTGGAGTTCTTATATTACTATCATGCGGCTCTGGCCTTTCTTCGCCGCCTGTGCCGTCGGGATGCAAAGTCTGTCTGTCCTTTGACATCTAACACATGGCAATCCCGGGGATGGCTGGTTACAGCGAACTTTAGACTGCCGGCAAGGCATACATGTCCCCATTGGGATGTTGCCTCGAGGATATTGCCTGTTCGTTCTGTGAAGGTCCAATGGCCGCATCTCGAGATGGAGAAACGCCGTGAGCTGCCACATCTTGTGGTGCCGCATTGCCTGTCTTAGCCATATTATCGCAAGCTATATACTCCTGTAGTTCAAGGAGAGAAAGCCGACGTCGTCCTTAGGCGTCAAAGAGTAAAATGGTTTACACTCGACTATTGGCTAGGCGTCTGATAGTTATGGATCAGAGAGCATAACTAAGCCCTTGTAAACCAGGACAGAGGATTGGAGGGCGGATGGAGCAACATACACGGAAACATCATCCTGTCAACTCACTACTAGCAAGTCTAACCACCATTTAAATAGTTAATTTACGGGGTATGAAGCTGAGAATTGATTTTGATGAGCAAATTGATGAAAAGATATGCGGCTGTGGACGTCCAAAATCTCGAGTAAGTCAACATTTAACGTTACCTACCTAGTGACTCGCCGAAGACCTTGTGGCTAAATAAAATTGACTAGATGCTACGAGTCCCAGGTGCAGGTTCCGCATATTTGATTCAAACATTCATGGCTTAAGTTGAAATCTCATATTAAAATGACCACCACGAATCGAATAACAAGAAGACGACAGTCAATCTCTGGTAGAAGAATGGCAATAGCACATCTAGGGAAAATCAGAATGAAAATAGACCACAAATTTCTTAAAAGCTGTTGAAGTGGAGCACCACAAGCTAATCAATATGAATAGAACAAAATCGAATCTATAGATCGACTTGTTTCAAATCAGAAACAGATAACACAAAGATTTTAGGCCCTCCGGAGCCCTTCCTTCTCTCTTTACCATTCCTTCTTCCCCTCCATCCCAGCTACCCTTGTAACCAGGAACAATATCACCGTGTCTCATCTGATCGTGTCAGGGGGATAAAAACGTCTGGACGTGAAATGCCATATCGTAATGCAGGAATTCCCAAAACATTAGAAAGAGGGAAAGAGAGAAGTAGTCAAAGGGGAAGGAAAATTAATACATGTGTTTTTTGGGGGGCCAATTAGGGATAGAGTCGCAACCGAAAAAAATGTAAACAGAGAGATCATTAGGGTGGTTATTGCAGCGGGGTAAGCATTGCAAGTTTCCCCGTTCGACTTTTTCTTGTCATTAAAAAACATTTGTCCAAAAAGGACAGGCATGAGTTAGGCTGAATAAGGATGGAAAATTGGTCAATCGTTCGTAGAAGTAAGGAAATTAGAGAAATTAAAATAAGGAAATAAGGAACATAGAGAGGGAGGGCAGTGAAGGCTGAATATTGATCCCATTTCCACCTCCCGAACCATGACCCAAATATATTTTTCTTTTGGTATAGGGCGCGTTTCCCGGTTGGGTTCTGATCCCTCATTTACCTTACGATTTTGCTTTTCCAAAGGCTAGCAGAATTCATGGTATACCTGGTAGGCACTCTATTAGCTGCGGGATACTTGGCAGGTTTGGTGTATTGCTGGCGAGGCGAGGGATGGAATTTACCATGTAGATAGTGAGCTGCAGCTAATAATCGCCATGGGTGTCGTACCCCTTGTAGCCGTCGTCCTTTTCGTCCTTTTCGTCCTTTTCGTCCTTTTCGTCCTTTCCATCTTTTCCATCTTTTCCATCTTTTCCATCTTTTCCATCGTTTCCATCGTTTCCATAGTTTCCATCGCCCTTCTTTCCGTCATCGTACTTCTTTGGTTCATCACACTTGCCGGTGACGGTGTGGACCTTAGCGATGGTGGTCGGCACAGGCACGGGCTTCCCTGGCACGGTGATGGTATGGAAATGCGTGACGGGCTTCTCTTTGATGGCCGTCTTGGTAACAATGACCTCCTTGACAGCAGTAATAGTCACAGCCTTAGTTTGGACAACAGTCACCGGCTTGTAGTCGGTTTTAGTTACGGGCTTGGGATAGTCGGTTATCGTCATGGTCTTCCAGTGGGTGACGGGATGGTTCACAGTGATGAACTTGGTGACCTCTTTGAACTCGGTGACAGGTTTGAATGCCGTCTTATACTCGATCTTATACTCGGTCACTGTGACAGTTTTGGGCTCTTTTTCCCGGTAGTGGTCACCCCCGGGAATGGGATTCGCAGCAGCAAGGCTAAATGGACATCAGAAACTTGGAACGTCATTATGACGGAAAATGGGGGAATTAAAAATTACATACCCAGCGCCTAGGATAGCGAATTGAAAAATCTGATTGATGCAAACCATCTTGAATGCCTGAGTATGAGTATATCAGAAAGTATACGGTGAGTATTGAAGTAAAGGCAATAATCACAAAAATATGTTTTGCTTGTTTGATATGTGATCAGATAGATGATTGAACCCGGTGGTGACTTGAAGAAAAGAGGGCCAACAGGGAGGTTGTGCTGCCCTTTATATAGAGACGGCCGCAGTTAAGGTGTGACCCTAGAAAGACTAGGCATGACGATGCACCCAGCATCTGGGCTCAACTTGCGGTAATAGCTGCTGAGAAACGCGACTATCCGATCCTGATGTCAACTAAATCTAATTTCTGTGACACGTAGAGAGAGCACTGTGTTCAGGTTCTGAATTGCGTTGATCATAGTTGGATGACAATGTGGATATTGGCTGGTACAATTATCTCGTTTTTAAGTCTATGATTCTTAGAAAACCATTTCGTATGATATGATTCTCAATAATAAACCAACCAAGGTGTACCAAGAGTATGGACCTGGACTCTCGGAAGAAAGTAATAGCCGATCCCACTTATAGTGTGTAAAAGGGTTTGGTTAGCCAGTCCTGAATGTATGTACTTGGAAGACGCTGGGAATGTTAGGGGAGTATCTTAAAATGTTCAATTGGATAACTCAGAGATGGTGGTACATGTTGTAGTCGTCAACTTCCTTCTGGTAAAGTCCTTGCTGGCCTCCTGCTACGTGGGGTAGCAGGTAGATGTGCTGCTATCTACAGCACTCTGAGCACAAGTCTTATGCCTATAAAACACCAATGGCAGGGTTTTAAAACTGGCGAACGAGGCGAAATGACCATTCCTTCAAAATATCCTTCATGTGGCTTCAAGCTATTGGGAGATGGCATATCTCCGCCAGATCAAAAGCGGAGAAGAGAGACACTGACACATCGTAAATGTGGAGGGAGAACGGCTAGATCTCGTTGATCCCCAGCTCGAGAGCTGCGATTCTTCCCCACACAAAAACAAGAAACTCACTGTCCATGGAAAGATATCACTGCTCAGTGCTACCTATCAAGAACTCAGCACACAAACTTGGAGCCTCGAGCAATGTGAGAAGCACATGTACATGTACATGCACAATAATCATCCAATATTTGCAACGGCACCAGCCCTGTAGAGCGCGAGGGCCAGGAAACTCGTCGTATGGCATGAAAATCATAATAGTTGGGGACAAATAACCACCAAGATCCAACGCGATGGGTGGATCTGGAAGCACCCGACTATGTAAAAACTGAGTAACGCAGGAAGCCATGTCGACGTAAATCCTGTCACAAGGCCTCTCGATCACCGTTCATAAGGTCGATGCTAGTGATCAACGCCTCCTGATAGATGTGTACGGTAAAATCTTTCATGTTAAGCTATTCCCGGACACTATAATTGAGACCATAGAGTCCACGAATCGATATGGACTCGATGAGGTTACAGGAAGTGGTAGGTGGTTACAAATGTCACAAGAAACCACATATGGGGTAAGTTGTCAGCGGTGAGGTGTAACACAGATCGCTCGAAGACTATCTTGTTAGCTATGATGAAAATGGCCCATATAGAGAACAAAAAAGAGATCAACATCGAATGTCTTTGATATTGAAGACTCATACGGAGGATGAAGGTGGTTAAGTCCAGACAGACTCCGGAGAGGACGCTAGCAAATAAATAGGCTGACTAAGACTTTCCAGATCAAGCCCTAGTTAACTCAAACCACCAACCCCTTGCATGCGTCAGACAGTCTTATAGCTTGAAATTAAGAACAGCTTTCTATATTATATGGTATTATACATTTACAATGCAAGGGGGTTTGGATGAATTAACGTATCCTTGTCTCTGGGCACAACTGGAAGCATCTTCCCGAACAACTTCCACCATTCCAAACCGTAAACATTATTAACTGAACTCAGGGGACTGCTTTTTACAATCCGAATCCAAACCCAGAGAAATAGTACAATGTTTCAATATATACCTGGATTCTACTTCTTCGGGATTATGGTGATTGGCCGCTCTATATCCGGGAATGTGTCCGCAAATATCACTGCTGCTCAACGGTGCATGTCTAGAGCTAAAGCTCTTGCATAAATTTGAAATCAGACCGCCCTTGGGTAATAGGTTCACAATCCTGTGTTTCCGCTCAAACTGCTGTCAGTGTTGAAGTTCACAGCTACAGATAACCTGGGGATGTTGGTGATCCTCTTACAGCATGTCACCCCACAGTTCTGTGATGTGCTCCGGTGAGCTATCTGAAATCAGGAAACCCGTTGCGCGTCGAGCGCGTTTAGCAGCTACATTGGAGCCCTTCAGTTGCCTTACGAGGGAAAACCATAAAATCGCTTTTTGGGGTGATAGCTGTTGAGATTTGGGGTCAAGGCGATTTCCGGCATAATGAAGCTCCAAAGTAACTGGTAGGAGGAATCTATGAAAATTCCATCCTCAAAGAAAGGAGGATAAAGCAAAACATGATAGAACATGTGCGGACAACCATAACATATTGCTTTCTCCTATTTGATAAAATCTGTTCTATTCGCAACGCTGACTTTCTCTGATCCCTTGCTCTCTATGCAATATATCGGCAGACTCAAAATCCTGCGTTCCATAGCCAGCAGGACAAGCTCAATTCGACTCCTCAGGTCTTTTCGTCCTAGGGCTTTATATTGCCGTTACCCAGTACAACATGCATGACGTGACCACAAGCAAAACATAGAACCGAAAATTCAACAGTCTGTCTGGCCCAGGTGGAGAGAGCTTGAAGTAGAGGAAGAAAGTAATGATCTAGATACTCGCCTATAAAAGTCCATCCATGACCGAAGGCATATAATCAAACGGTCGTGACTAGGGCGGGAGCTTCGGAGACGTTGTGTCCGCGGGCGTATGTGTCTGCACGCTGAATATATGACATGTACATGTAATGTACACGAGCGGGAGCATAGACCAGAGAGGTCCCGCCGGTTCCACCACCTTACTTGCAAGTTTTATTGCCTCCCGAGTTCAACAGTAGTGAGAGCAAAAGAAGACACACCATGTAAAGGCAATTGATAATAAAACAGTATTATGTTACTATATGCAATGGATATGTACTTCTTCCCTTTTCCCTCTCCCTTCTGACTACCCGCCTTGAACGTGAGTGGTTGGAGCTGTCGGTACCAACATGGACCAACAAAAAGGTGAAAATAAAGATGAAATTGGGGATTAATTTCCATTTTAGCCCAACATGGGTTGTAGATCTTAGACGGGCTTTAGTTTTGCTCGCTGACAAGAAACAAGAAATGCCACAGGCGGGATTGGGATTGTTGCAAGCAAAAAAAAAAAAAAAAAAAAAAAAAAAAAAAAAAAAAAGAGAGAGAGAGAGAGAGAGAAGTAAAGGGAAAATAATAGCATTAAATAGAGACGGGGAGACAGAGATGGCAGGTAGCAGTATATGTATACAGAGCAGTCTAGAGTGGAGGATGTGATGTACGAGAATCGGAAAATGAGAATGGAAATAATACAAATATCAGGAACTGAAAGCAAACAAAACACTTGTAATGTCGGTGCGGTTGATAAAAAAACCGAGGATAGAAACATATTAGTTTTGTAATAAGACCAGTGTGGATAAAAGGAAGAGAAAAAAACCTGTCGCAGCCACCACTGCAACATGAACAGAAAGAAATAACGAGAATGTAGACCAGGTTAACTTTTTAAATCACGAACACCGCCAATTCCTCCTATACATTGGGAAATGGGAAAAAGAAAAGAACAGAAAGATAGGAAAGGATATAATTGCAACAAGGGAATCTCTCCTCTGTCCCCCAGTAGAACTCCAAGAAACAGAACAAAAAGCAAAACACCCCAGACGTTAAAGGAACATATATATATACATACTTGGTAAAGCTGTCTGTTGGTGGCTGATGGGTGGTAGTTTATCACTTAGAAAATTATGCAATATTGCCTGCCATGCCCATGAAGATCGCCTGGGCAGCAAGTTGTAGAGACCAAAGCCCTACTTTCTTAAACCGCCGTTTCCGAGCCTGTTCATCAACGACATCTTGTGCGAAAGCTTCGTATGTCTGAGCGAGGAAAGGGGGAAACAAGTTAGTCATACCAAAATGATGTCACATCAAACTAAAGCAAAAGAAGGAGACAGTGAAGAAGAATAAAACTCACTTCAGCCGATAAATCGTCCATCAAACCACTATCGTAAATCGTCCAACTACCATCAAAATCGCTAACACGCTTCACAAGTCGACACTGGATAGGGATAAACGTGCGCTTGGAATTCATGTACGCGACGATTGGCCGGATGAGCGCGTTGTTAACGTATGAAAGATCCTTGGTGAAGATGGGAACAACAGCTCGAACGTTATTGAGGTGGATACGGAGATCGGTGACGACAAATCGCTTATCTTCTTCCACGGCCTCTGGAGAAACTGCAACAGCATCGTCCACGCCGCCACTCTCGCCCTGGGGAACTGTAATTGCACCACGGGACGTAGAACCATTAGGATGTGGTTGGTAGTGGTTCGATGTAACGGTCGCTTCCAGGCGGTCGTAAAAGTCTGACATGACCTTTGCCAGGCTCTCATCGTTGTCGGCTGGGAACATGATGTCGGCTACGATATCGACATTACCCTCACGGATCCACGAGAACGGGCCTTCAACGCCACGATTCAGGTGATCGATATTAAGTCCATCAATACGGATTCGACTATGTTTTTTCCACGGGCTTGCTTCGCCATTTTCCTCTCTGCCATCGTTCAACAGTGCGCCCGTATAGGAATGTGTTTGCCGGGGATGGATCGTGAATATAGAATTGTCAAAGGACCCAGACATCGTATTAGCGGACATGAAATCGTAAAAGAGCCACTGGCGCCTGAGCTGCGGCAGGTCACAGGAGAAAATAGAGACAGAGAACGGCCGGAAATTATCCGGCTGGTAGACTGTAACCAGGAGGTCCTGCATTTTAAATGAGTTGATCTCGAAGTCGCCTGGGTTGTGCTCGTGTCGGTATGACTTGGGGTCGAGATATCCCTCAGGCCACCACACGTGCGTCCTGTCGACGACGCCTCGAACACCAATCACCTCGACATCTCGTAGGAGGCCTTTGCCATTGAACCATTTGGTAAACGATAGAGTGACGTTGACCGTGTTTATCGATACATCAAACTGGGTATAGTTCGTATCTTCCTCCTCCTCCACGTCCGATAGCTTATCCCTTAGCGCTGCAGCTGCAGCAGTTTCAGCTGCGGTTTTAGATGAACCTTTGCTCACGTTTCCAGCACCTTGGCCAGGGCGTCTTGAAACGAACACGTTTTTGAACGTGATAACGCCATCTTTCCATCTGGGTACGATGGCAGATTCGAAAACAACGGTGAGTCCCGACGATTTGGTCAAATAGTTGCCAATCCATCTGGCCAAGGTTTCTGATCCCAACAGTCAGTGTGACTATTATTACACAAACAAAAATTCAGGGATGAAGCAAAAAATGGAACAGAACCAACCTTGAGCGAAAACCGTATTAATGGCCAATATAAGCAAGGAAAAAAACGTCGTGGTTCCCAGAATAATCCACAGTACATGGCCAAGAAGAATCCAAGAAAAGAAAGCACCAATATCATCTATATTGAAGGGCCGGATGCTCCGTATAGAGAACCACTTAAAGCGCACTTTTAGCCTCGACCAAAACCCCGTCGCAGCGGCCAGTAATTCCTCCTTAGTTGGTCGATGGGGCAATCGGTCGGTGAAATGGTTGGTCGTTGTAGAACTACCCCCAGCGAGCGCCTTTCCATAGACACTCTTGCCGCTCGAGTGTGACGACAATAGCGCGGGTTCAGACGTCAACTTAGACTCGGATTCAAAGGGTTTCACAAGTGGCCGATTAGAGGTCTCAGTTTCATCGGATGGCAGCGTCGCCGGGCGCTGTGTGGTATTGATGGTTTGAGAGGGAGTGGAGCTGGTGGACGGTTGCACATCATCATTTCCCTTCGAGGACATATGGATACTTCTTCTCCAAGCACCTCTAGCCAAACTCTCTAGTCTGCGTCTATCCACGTACCCCGCGCTTCCGTGATGACATATTATTATCTTTTCCGAAGAGGAGATAGCACATGACGCGCCGGATTCTACCGCATTGGACGGTGGTGATGTACCCAGGACCAGGAAGCCGCCGGATGCGAAGCGTCGAGTGATCTGCTTAGCATTTTTAGGAGAGGAGTATGAAAACGTCCTTGACCAATTTCCTCGAAACAAGCCCTGGACGGCATTTGATGGTCTTGCCGCGCCAGTAATAAAAGCTGACCAGGCAGAGGCGGAGGATTGCTCTGCGTGGAAGATGAGGGGATGTGCTCGTTTGCATATGTTCGCGTACAGTCGTCGTCCTATGTGGCCGGACATAATTTTCGGGTCATCCTGGAACACTCTTTCACTATCGGAAGAGTGTCAGCGTCCTGGGATGAAGGAGAGAGTGTTGCTGATTGAAATCCTGTTCAAGTTCTACGAAGTTGAAATAAATCCAAGTAAAAACCATGAAATCATGGTGAGATGTTTGTCTGGTTTGCATCCGATCGACCGTTTTCCCACACTTTTTCATTTTATTTTTCGGCGTCAACAACGATAACGATATAACCTATGCGTGAAAGACGGAATCAAATAGCCCATTTTAATTCTGTATTTACATTGTTAAACCCTACATAAACTTGTACTCGCTCCGTGTACAGCACTACAGTACTTGGAAAATGCCTGCACCAACCGCACGGATCAGGCACCACCCAGAGGAGGGTACAGATACTAATCAGACACCCGCTTCAGTATCTCATAACGCCCCTCGACGTACGTAGTCTGGCACAATATACCTGCCGCGCAGCCTCAATAGATAAAGAATGCAACACGCTAACGAGGGGGAAAAAATACAGATGAGGAAGACATCCTAATCGACACAAACGCCGCGCCTCCCACAGAACCCTCTTCACAAGCTAAACAAAACCGCCTCGAACCAAATCAAGAAGAAGATACAGAAATGCAAATCGACCTTGAAGGTCGTCCCGTCTTCACTCCCGCAACTCCATCCCAAGGCGCCTACCGTGTAGAAACCCGCAAAGTTCCTGTCCCTCCACACCGCATGACCCCCCTCAAAGCCACATGGCCCAAGATCTACCCACCCCTCGTCGAACACCTCAAACTCCAAGTACGCATGAACATCAAGAACCGCTCCGTTGAGCTACGCACGTCAAAACACACCACCGACACCGGCGCGCTGCAGAAGGGCGAGGACTTTGTAAAAGCGTTCACACTCGGGTTTGATGTCGACGATGCCATTGCGCTATTGCGGCTGGATGATTTGTATATCGAGACGTTTGAGATTAAGGATGTAAAGACTCTTGGGGGGGAGCATTTGGGGCGCGCGGTTGGGCGGATTGCGGGCAAAGATGGCAAGACGAAGTTTGCGATTGAGAATGCCAGTCGGACGCGTGTTGTGCTTGCGGATCAGAAGATCCATATTCTGGGCGGATTTCAGAATATTCACGTTGCGAGGGAGGCGATTGTTAGTTTGATTTTGGGAAGTCCGCCGGTAAGTGCTTCTAATCGCCTTGTGTAATTGTTCTAAAGTCCATGATATGTGTATACTGATGTGTTTGGTCCCAAACAGGGCAAGGTCTATGGAAACTTACGAACTGTGGCGTCGCGGATGAAAGAGCGGTTTTGAGCGAATGGCTCCTGGAAATGATACCTACAGTGGCATAGCAACGGCGTTTTGGAGTTTCACTTTTTACCTTGATATCTTGATATCCACCCAGCTTGCCCGTTTGTATGAAGGCAATGATAGGGTAAGATGGGAATTGGATTTAACGAAATCGGATTAACAAAAGCAACGTTTTTATGAACCATATTGATTATTTTTTTATCATGACCTAATAAAGGAAATCGCATTGTACTGAACGTTTGCTCGGCGAATCACAAAAGAAAGCCAGAGGAGAAGAGAAAAACAAAACCAAAGCGCTCTAGAAAACCACCATCTAATCCTTCTTCAACGGGTGGTGAACCTCCTGTATCCCCTCTGTCGTAATCACCATAACCTGCAACCCGTCGCCAACCTCAATATGTCTCTCCACTGCACTCGTAAACGCATCCTTGACCAGCTGCAGCGCAACATCCCTCGGAGGTGGCACAGGCTCTCGGGGCTGTTTATCCATCGCGTTCCCCTCCCCAGATCCTGGAATAAATTGATTCTTAAAATTGACCTGATTATCCAAGAATGGCATAATCAAGCTCGCCGCCGCACCGGCGGCCCTGCAATACTCCCTCTCATATGAACCAACGGGATCGTAGCTGTACAACGCACCCTTACCCTCCTCATCAATACCAGCCAGGATCGCGTGCACATAGTAGGGGAAAAAGCGTTTCGAGTAGAGGATGGTAGCCAGGCGCTGCGCACAAGCTTTCACGGACATGGGCTTGCCATGCCTGTACTTGTACATTTTAACGATGGCATCAAGACGTTCTTTGAGGGCGCGGCCGTCTGCTGCGAAACCGACGACTGATAGAACGAGGTGGGCACCTTCGCCGCCTTCATTGTCTTCGCCTATTTTGAAGAGCTTGGGCGCATAGCGGGTGTTGATGTTGTAGCCGGAGACGGAGCGCGTGTCACCTGCTAGGATTGCGTAGTCTTTGCCTGCGATGCCGAGTGTTGAGCCCCCGTTGTCGGTATATCTGGGAGGGGGGGGGGGGGTGGAGGATTTTAGTTAGGGGTTCATAAGCTTGTTTTTGGTATGGTATGGACCTTTATTACGAAGAGAGCTAAAAAGGGGGAAGCATACGGGTTGAAGCCATGATGTTGCTTTGGCCTGGTGGTTCCTTGTGGTTCTGCGAATGAATAACCTATTGTTTCGGCATGGGACGAGGGATGATTTAGAAGGGAGGTCATTTCGGAGGCAGAAAGGGGACAATAACGGAAAGAGGTTATAATATCGACAGTAGCAACACTAAGGAAAGAGATAATAAGAAGAATGTATGTTGTATGCTGTATGTTGACTTTTTGGATGTTGTTCTGTTGAATGATGAAGCTGAAGCTGTCGTTGACGCTCTTGCTTCTGGCCGCTTACGTGATGCCGGCTGCCTTGTGCTTATGTCATCCACCTCCAGCTGTTTCTCTCTTCCACCAAATCCAGACAATTTGACCAACGAAAGGGCAACATACTACACAGAAAAGAAAAGAAAAGAAAAAGAAAATAATCAAAAGGTCTTTTCAGATCATGGGACAGCCAGCTGTGCCAGGCGCCCAGTCCCATGGGCTCACTGGTACACTTTTTCAGAGGGCAGTGGGTGGTGCACACAATGTCACAGCCCAGGTGGCAGAGGACTGCATGTCCCGAATCGCACCCAGCTCATGGTTGTCCAGCATTTGGCTATCCATGCATCACTGGTCGGAAATGAGCGCGTTCCTACCCGAGGATTGAAACCATTGGATCTCATGTCTCTAGAGGCAGGCTCTCCGAGAAGCCCGTATTGATCAGTTTGAAGCGCCAGCTTTGTTGCAGATGGAGATTTACCACCGACATGCATCCTGTGTATAAACAGGATCATTACCTTGAGGGTTTATCTTCTTTGATCATGAACATCGCGGGCTCTAGATCTACTACTATCAAGGACTAGAGTTGCATGCTCAATCATCCTTCTATTCTTCTTTCTCTTTCCTCTTAGCCTACCCTGGCCTAACGCAATCTTGCACGCCTATCATTCCCATTTCCGCTGTCGGTCAATAATTATTGCGTCTGTGTCTCTGCAGTTTTTTTTTTTTTTTTTATGATGTTCGGTAATTTTAAACCATTATCTACGCTCCTTGATATAAACGATCAAAGTACCTCCGCTGGTAACAGGCTAGACAATGGCGTGCGGGTTGAGGAGAACGGATTATATATGGTTCTATGGGATACCGGAATCACAGGGAAATACCACTGGGGTTTGCTTGTCGCTCAGACAAATACCTCTGGCGTCCTTTGCCATCAAGCACTGAGTGGGCCTAACTGGAAGTTTATTGTGGAAATCAAGGACTTATCGGTGTCAAAATCGGTCTTGCTCGCTCTCAAAGTTGGATATCTTGAAAAAACCAACGACGAGTGGTTGTCGGCGATGAAATCTATAATCCGAAATGCTACGGTGCACGGAGAGCTCACCTGTCGTACCTGGGCGCTGGCAGCCCTTTACGAGCTCGCCTCTGCGGGATTTATTGATCTGGACCCTAATTGGGATCATGTACATGGGATCGAGGAGGAGGCAAAAAGACTGGCAGAGCATGCAAGATTTACCGACACCAAGTTCGTTCAGCCGAGCCAGTCAGCTAAACTACAATGATTGGCGCCACTGGCCCAAAATATGTTTCCCTGAACTATTTTAATTTTGATTATTACTTTGTGATTAAGTATGTATGCCTTTCAGCTCCTTGACATATATTTTGTATGCTGGAAATTGAATTTGCGCTGTACGGTGTCGCTAGTTAGCAGTATTCACCTTCACATAGTTCCTCCAGCCTCCGTAAGAGAAGCGTTATAAACTGTCTTGGGCGCCTTTATTTTTAATTTTGTTTTCTGACAGCGCCGAACTGCGCCACCACCGCACCAATCCTGTAGCGTGCGTTGACATGGACATCCAAAGTTGTCTGGGTTTTATTTCTCCAGCATAAGAACTAATTCCAGTTCTTTTCGACATGCCGGCCAGTGTGGATTCCTTGCAGAGTGAAGACAGCCTCTATGCGGCCGCGTCCCATGCAATTAAATCAGCCCATTTATCAGCAGTTGAACATATTCAGTTGCACTTTTTCATAAATGATGCGATCAAAAGAGCCCAGGCCTCGCGCTTTATACTGAGTCGCATACCGGAATCCTATCCTGAAGGTGCCGAAAGCGCCGAAGACATTCTTCGGGGGATCAAAGAGGACCTAATATCTGTAGCACGGAAAAGTATGATGGCTGATTATTAAATCGTCTTATGTTTACCCTCAGTCTTATTCTAACATGTTCGTAGTTGTGCGCGATGATGATAGCGATGCGGTCTCTTCTAATGTCGAAAGCGCCCTATATGAGCGGGAAAGAAATCGATGCTGTGTTTCTGGCCACGACACAGGCCTCAAACCTATATTCATTGTCTCCCCATCAATCGTAGATGATGAAGATCTACAAGCTGGAGTAAATATGTGCATAATCCCTCTGAGGAAATCGCTTGCTTACATTTCACTTCAGGGACGATTGCGACCCATCCTTGACGCTGTCTTATCTGCAGAAATTGCCAACGAGCTGTTCACATTCTTTAAATCCCAGGACAGCGCAAAAGAAAGCCTGCTCAAGAATCTATGGCTTATGTCGCCAGAAGTGAGGACTGCGTTCCAAAATGGCCATATATACATATCGAAATATCGGTTGGGGCACCAAAAGTTTATTGTCAGTATTTGCTCCAAGAATGAAACTTCTATGAATCTTTGATACTAAGTTCAAGGTATTTATGTGCAGTGGAGTGTTCGTAAAAGACCACCCAAACATTTTTCCCCCGTTAATGAAAGCTTTCATATAACTCCCTCAACTCCCGACGAAAGCTGCCTTCCCCTCCCCGAAGGCTTTCTACTACAAGTACATTCCGCCGCATCGGCTATCCTGCACACTTTATCTATTGAAAATGAGATTCGCCATGGATGGGCGCCGGTAAAGCCTGGTAAGTAGACTTCGATGAAGTACCTTTAAACGCCCGTCAAACTCACAGAATAATATAGGACGGACATTGGGGCAGTTTGGAAGATGTCTCCTCCGCGGGTTTGCTCTGATGATTCCAAACTCCATCTGCGTGGCCATTTACCGCCTTATTCTCAAAGCTGTCGACTATTGGGATCCCCAAGGAAACCCTTCGGTCAAGTTTCTTCCATTTGGCCTTTGTCTAAAGACAGGCCGGCGCGTTACGCGAAATGAGGCAAACGCGCTCCGTCTCATTGAGAAACACACCTCCATAACAGCCCCGAAACTAATCGATTTTGCGACGGATAGTACAGCAAACAACAACTTCCTGTTGATGACAGTGGTACCCGGTATTGGTGCTGATCGAGTATTCTACAGAATGACGTATGAAGAACGGCGTCAACTCGCAATAGATGTTGGTAGTTGCATTTCACAGTATCGCCAAATAAAGAATGATTATGCCCAGAAGCATTTGATATGTGATACTCTTGGTGGGCCAATTACAGACCATCGCACCGATGATCGTGGGTTTTGTGGTCCCTACAACTCCAAACCCGAATTCCTGGACGATTTGACAGAGGATCTTGAGAGTATCAGAACAGAAAGACCTCTCTCGTATCTATATGAGAAGCAACACGAGGTCTGTTTTACTCACTCAGACCTGCATTTATCGAACCTGCTTGTTCATCGTGGACGGCTCTGCGGTATCATCGATTGGGAAAATGCAGGCTTCAAACCCGAGTTCTGGGAATACACGCGGATTGTGTGGGGGTATAAGAGTGACAATCGGCTTTCGCAGGATTTTGAACTTGCATTCGAGAAGAGCTACAAAGAGGAGTTAGAAGCTGAGCGGTTACTTTGGAGGCTAAAGCCCGTTTTCTAATTTCTGGGTGCCTATATATTTAACAAATAACTGAGCACTAGATGCAAAGCAATCACAGACCTGTACAGGTGTTCACTTGCTAAAATGCAAAAAGTTGAGAAACCATGTTTAATGATGAAGGACATGAGGACAGGGTTTATAGTGCAAGAAAAATCTTATGAAACTTGTACTGTTGTATTGGAATTCTGTAAGACATCTATTATAAAATATCTGTACAGCTCTCTCTTTTTCTTTCTCTTTCTTCATGATATAATCATATAAGCAGATTCTCTCTATATATTTTTTCTATCTGCTCTCACTCATTTTTTGAGTTCAATACTTTTGCAGTTTTATTTCTTTTAAAATATTATTATTCTTCTTCTCATCTACATAGTATAATATACACTCTATTGAGTATTTTATTTGCAGCTTTTTCAATCATTTTTAGATTTTCTTTGATTGATTTTAAGCTGTCTATCGAGTCTATAATTATATTATCTATATGAAAACCTTGCTAGATAGATTATAATGTTAACATCAATTCCACTACAGATTAGATATCCCTTAAATAGCTAAACAAGTCTCAGCAATGATGTCAACAAATGAAACATACAACATTCAGAAAGATATTACCCCCAAGTACTGTTTATTTCTGCCTTCTACTAACAACCTCTCGCATGGGCCGGTATGTTTTTTAGCCAGAAATGGCCTAGTTAAGAGGCAAGGCATACTCCGTCCATATTGATTTCGTATTTCAAAAGTGGAGCAATGTCACGGTCACTGACGAACAAGCTGAGGAGGGGTGGGAAGTCTGCGGAGGGGAATGTGTTCAGGACGCGCTGTTGCTGGTCATCGCCAAATAACGAAGCTGCATCTTGAACCTGAGAGTATTCCTACGAATTTGCACATCCATCCACTTGATATAACATTTCACCAGATATTGGAAAGCTCTTGCAATTGCCATGCGTCTTCTTAACGCCAAAACCCATCAGCTGGAAGAATTCCCGGACGATCGCATTCCTCCATACGCCATTCTTTCCCATAGATGGCAGACCGAAGAAGTGATTTTTCAGGAGCTTGAAGCATCTCCAGCATTTACCGGACCCCGGTTTAGGAAATTATTCGACACTTGCGCCCAGGCACTTAAGAATGGGGTGGACTATGTGTGGGTAGATACCTGCTGCATTGACAAGTCCAGCAGCGCAGAGCTATCTGAGTCCATCAACTCCATGTACGAATGGTACCGATGTGCAGAGGCCTGCTATGTTTACCTCAATGACGTGATGGAATCCTCAGTCACGGAAGGCTCAAGTTTCCATTCTAGCGTCTGGTTTACGAGGGGCTGGACGCTACAAGAACTTATCGCTCCGGCCAACGTGCAATTTTTCAACGCCGAATGGCAGACTCTGGGTTCGAAAGTGGATTTAAAGGATGAAATATCTTCAATTACGCGGATTCCAGTGCCAGTTCTTACCGGCGTGCTGGCTCCCCAGGATCTCAGCATTGCACAACGGATGTCGTGGGCATCTCACAGAACCACGACCAAAGTGGAGGATATCGCATACAGCCTTTTGAAATTATTTGATATCAACATGCCCATTCTTTACGGCGAAAAAGAAAAAGCTTTCATCCGGCTGCAGGAGGAGATAATGAAACAGTCAGACGATCAGACGCTGTTTGCCTGGAAGATCTCAGACGGTCAAACATACCATGGATTGTTCGCAAAATCGCCGGCAGACTTTGCAAAGAGCGCGGACATAGTTCCACTGCCATCGTCTTGGAACCGCTCTCCATATTCTGTTACAAATAAGGGCCTTTCGATAGAAGTGCCGATGTTACCATGGGCAATGGAAACATATTTCGTTGCTCTGGATATCCAACGAGCAAGTAAAATGAAACGCCTAGGCATATTCGTGACCTTCCTCCAGGAAGAGAATCAATATGCGAGAGTAACGGTTGACGGCGAGGGCCTGACCGAATTCGACACAAAACTCGCTTCGAAATGTGAATACCGGCGGATCTATGTGAGGCAGGCGATTTCGGGAAAGCAGAGGCCGCGAGAGAATGTATATGGATTTTGGCTCCGCCATTTCCCAGCGCGTGATACCAGAGCAGGAGCTGAATTTGATATCATGTCCTGGAACGAGTGGGTTGACCATGAACGGCTCGTTTTGATCCCTACGGGACAGCGCGGGACAGCTGCAATTATCCGGTACAAGATGAAGTCTGGCCGTACGGAGAACATAAAACTGGGCTTTGATTCCATGTTCAACCCCGTGGTTCAGTTTGGAGGCCACCGATATGCACGCAACACTTTTGGGACTCCGACTATGGAAGATTTCGATGTCATGATGGGTACAGACTGGATGGATCCGAAACTTGAAGGGGTCCACAAGGGAAATAGACTTTCCGGCCTTAATGCGGAAGATCCGTGGATCAGAATACTTGTCCTAGCAGACACTGTCGACGAAAAGCGAATATGGGTCGTCCACATTGAATTTGCAGAAGAAGCAGCATGGCACAAAGACACCATTTGTGACGGCTGTAATCTGGTAAGTTAAGTAAAATGACTGTACTTTGGCTCCATCCAGCGACAAGATCACGCTAACGAAAATGCGATAGAATATCTTTGGCACTCGCTATTCATGCCGCGTCTGCCCCGACTTTGACTACTGCACGGCTTGCAAAGAAGCTGATTCGAACCACAGCGGCCACGGTTTCAATGCCGTCAAACTTGTTCGGCACTACGGTGTCAAATGTGATCAGTGCTCGGATGTAAGTCCACGTTTGTCCCCAGGACGAAAACGTCGTTGCTATGTGTAAAGCAAAGATACGTACTGACGCGTCAATGCAGACTGTTTACGGTATACGGTATAATTGCCGCGAGTGCAATAACTTTGACCTTTGCCCATTTTGCCACAAAGATGTTAATGAGATCCATCCGGGTCATCGGTTTAGCGCCATCAAGAAACCACAGTAGCCAGGTGACTGGTTTAGACTGAATCCAGGGCTTGTTGAAGCCAAAAAAAACCAGGCTGGAGGGATAATATATATACACGCAATACAGACATTACTTGAATATCATTCCTTTAGAAAGTTCCTAGCTTCTACTTATTTTTGTTTCGGTTCTGTGACATTGGCTCCTTGTTTTGTCGTTGGATGAATCCATAGTGGATTTTTAGTGCAAAAGGGGTTGTCCGTCCAGTTGAGGAAATTTCTAGTGTCAAAGAATTAGTTGGAAATATATATTTGTATTTTTATAGATCCAGTCAATATATGTTATGGCCCTTTTGGCGTAATGATATGTGCGTTGTGGATTTGTACCACTGGGTACAACCGCATATTCCCTATAGATCCAGATTAATTTGACGTACCGTATATCTAATTACCCAAGGAATTTTGAATGCAGTTTTCATATAATAATCACGCATCATCCCACGTATAAACTCCTAAGTGTGTGTAATTTAAGGAGCCTAGTTTATCCAGTCGAACCGCACAAATAGCCGCGCGCTTATTTTGAACTCAGATACTCCCGGCCAATAGATCAAGCAGATAGCTCAACATCAGCTCTAGAGGGGATTCGCCGTTCTGCGCTGGGATTGTCGGACAGAGATACCATGCTGGGCCTGACAGCGTATGGAAGCAGCAGCGAAGATGAGGACGAAAGCAGTCCTCCATTAAAAGCTCAGAAGACAACGGTGCGCCGCCCTGAACTTCTGGTGCCGGCCGGTTAATCGTCCTAACCTGTGTATGCAGCAACCAGCGGAATCTTGCACAGAGATACCAGCTCAGCCTGCCGGTATGCTCTATCCTTACATAATTTTCCGCTTAATTATGTAGTGTCATATCTAATAATCTTCATAAAAAGGAAACGCTGGCTCTCAAGAACCCATACCAGCAGCCACTGCCAGAGTTGAAAAAGCCGACGGATCTCTGATTGGACCTTTTCGACCCCCTCGATCCCCTTCTCCTGCAAACGATAATAACATTGGTCCTCAACTACCATCTCAGAAACCCTCCTCATTTTCCACAAATCACTCCTTACTCCGCGACATGACTCTCCCCGCGATCCCCAACCTCGATATCCCACCCTCACCACCCGGCTCCCCAGGCCCAGTTGCGAACCAGAAATTTGCCCACTTCCTCTCTCTAAAGAGACAGGGCGTCCACTTCAATGAGAAACTCGCCAGTTCCTCCTCCCTGCGAAACCCTAGCCTACTCACTAAACTGATGGACCACGCTGGCATCGATGCACAGCTGCAATACGCCACCTCCCTGCCGAAAGACCTATGGGACCCTGTCACGACGCTTCCTCCATGGGGGTATAAGGAGGAGTTGCTCAAAAGCCAACAAGAGATACGGCGGAAGATTGAAGAGAAGAAAGGATCGGGTCCCCGGGAGGCTATAGAATTTGTCTCTGGAGGCGGCGGTGGCGGGGCGTCGGGAGACTCGAGCCGGACGGGGACACCATCCAACGCGAAGGCGAGGCCTAGCGCTGCCGAAAGAGTTATGGCGGGCCTGAGTAGGGAAAGGACAAGCTCGCCGATGAATACTGACCGGGATCGGGGGAAACGGACGGTGGATTTGGAGCGGCGACCAAGGAAGAAGCGATCGCGGTCTAGATGATAGGGCTATCTTTACATCAGATATATTTTGCTGCTTCTGTTCTTTTTTTTGAGGGGGAGATTTTAAATTAATTATGGGTGGGCGATTTTTTATCAGGCATTTGTATATATTCCTACCTGAACGGCGATTGGTGCATAGAGATTACCTGCGAGAGAATTACAGGACCTTGATGGGCTACGAACTAAATGCAGGGATCTCAACTGTCATATGATTTTTTATATTGTTTTTCACTTATAACGTCTCAAATCTTTAAATTAGTATGCCCGATTATGATTTTCTATTTCCGATCTGTCTGTGTCGTGATTAGACGCGGCAAGCTCCGCACTATTTAAGCGCCGCGCTTGCTGACTGAGCTTCCTTTGGGCAGACGCAACCACCTTGTTGACTGATTCCAACAACAGATCTACGCCGTCTCTACAACTATCTCTCCTCGACTACAGTCTCTGGCTCTCTACAATTCAAAGCAACGAGAGATCTAATACCCGCCATTAGTTTTATTCACAGTTACAGTTCGAGTTCCACCAAAATGAACCACTTCCCTCAAGCATGGGGACGAGTGAGCTTCCCCCGTCGTCAGCTGTACCATGTTTATTACAGGAACTAACTGCGCTTCTCACACGCCCATAGCCTAGGAACGACGTCTACGGTGCTTACGACCATTCATATCTTCAAACTTCAGCTCCCCAGACACATACACAGTCACCCGCCGTAACAGGTACATCAGTAATTGCCGTCAAGTTCAATGGCGGCGTAGCTATCGCAGCAGATAATTTAGGTACGACAGCTCCATACTGCCATTGATTCCCCCATTGGCACATTGAAATATGCCTAATCTGACATTACATTAGCCTCCTACGGCTCCCTCGCCAGGTTCACGGACATTAAACGCCTACGCCCCTTCGACAACGCCGCTGTGATCGGCTTCGGCGGTGACGTGTCTGATATGCAATACGTCGACCGCCTCCTAACCTTCCTTGACATCGAAGACAACTACTCAACCTACGGCCACTCCCTCAACGCGCAGAATCTGCACACCTACCTATCGAAAGTGATGTACAGGCGACGGTCGGAATTCAATCCCCTGTGGAACATGATCCTCGTAGCAGGCTTTGACGGCGAGGACAAGCCATTCCTCAGCTCCGTCGATCTGCTGGGTAACACGTACTCTGCGCCGCACCTGGCCACGGGGTTCGGAGCGCATCTGGCCATCCCAGTGTTGCGAAGGGTGTTTCCGGAGGAAACTCCGCTGGAGGATATTAAAGAGGAGCATGCAGTTAAGGCACTACAGGAATGTATGAAGGTGCTATTCTATCGCGATGCAAGGAGTACGGATCGGTATTCGATTGCAGTGGTGAAAAAGGATGGGGTGGAACTCAAGGAGAATGAACAGTTAGAGAACCAGAGTTGGGCGTTTGCAGAGGGTATTAGAGGGTATGGAAGGACGACGAAATGAATTAATTGATATGCCGGGGGTGGATGGGATGATGATGACCGGGATGGGGGTTGGAGAGGTTTTTGTTCTTATTTCCTTAAGATGCTGATTTCGTATTTGATTCAAGCTATTACGTTTTAAAGAAGCTTCATTTGGCCTCGTTCTATCCGGGTATATGTGCTGTCTCTAGATCTATGGATGCTCTTTACTAGAGCTAAACATCTTAGGCCATCAATTCCTCTTGACTGCTGCCAGTTGTAGCTGGACTTGCCTCATCGTGGATTTCCCCGTTTAAATATTACTTTGATAAGAGCCATCCACTCATCGCCACCATCTACAAGTTAGCGGAATTCCCCTCGAAAACAACCGTGTTCTCACAAGTGCCCACGCCTTCAAGTGATACCTCAACCTTATCGCCATGCTTCAGCCATAGCGGCGGGTTCCTGCCCATGCCGACCCCCTGAGGTCTAGATACCAGCAGGAAAACGAAGTTAGCAAAATACAACCAACCACACTCAAAAGGCAATAATAGAGTCAGAGGACAAGAAATAAATACTTACGTCCCCGTAAAAATCAAATCGCCCGGCCCCAACGTAGACCCCTTTGACAACAACGCAACGGTCCTCCTTACGCCAAAAATCATATCCCGCGTCGAACTCTTCTGCACAACCACGCCATTCAACCTCGTCTCAATCCCCAAATCCCCCGCATCCCCCAGCACCTCCGTCGTCACAATCCCAGGCCCTACAGGCGCCCACCCATCAAAACCCTTCCCAATCCCCCACTGTCCCCCCCCGCGCTTCAACTGCCACTCCCGATGCGACACATCATTCCCCACGGTGTAGCCCAGGACATACTGCAGCGCGTCCTCTTCAGACACATCACGACACTGCTTCCCCATAACAATCACCAGCTCACACTCATAATCCACACCGGGACACTCCTGCGCGATGCCGGGGACGGGTATGTCATCGCGGGGCCCCGCAAGGGCCGCGGGCGGTTTATAGAAGAGGATGGGGTATTTGGGGACGGGCATGTTTGTTTCAGCGGCGTGTTGGGCATAGTTGAGGCCAAGGCAGCGGATGGTCGATATATCGGCCTGGGCGAGCGGGGAGAGTAGGCGGGAGATGGGTTTTGTGGTGCTGGTTAGGGTTGGGGAGCGGAAGATGTCACCGGTGATGAGGCGGGCGGCGGTGGCGTGGGATATATCGGTGGTATGGGCCGGGAGGAGAGGGTCGCCGTAGTAGATCCGGCCGTCTTTGGAGAGGAAGCGGATGAGACGCTGGGTTTGCGGTGTTAGTTTGGGGATTTTGATGTGGCGGATATCAGTAACTGGGGGGCGGAAGTTACCGAAAAGGGTGGCATGACGAGTTCCTGGTCTTTTCTTTTGTCCTTTGTTTTGTTATGATGTTTGTTTCCCTCTGCCTTATTGCCCGCCCTCTGTATCTTGGATGGTCAATTGAGTTGGGGGAGTCAGGAAGAATGGATTTGCATGAACTGTACGGAGCAACTCCGTATAAATACATGTAACTAGCTAAATCCCCGCCGCCTGGTGAGAATTGATAACTAGTTATATGACCCGCAGGAATAAAAGAAATACCAAAACTATTCCACAGACAGTGACATATTTAACAAAATAAAAGGTATTTATGATCCTAATGCCCTCCCCCAGACGAAGATATATTAATAATTGTCTGCTGTTCTGCGACTTCTCCCCCGCAAAACTCGGCCGGGAAGATTTATTGATTGCACATTTTAGTGCCGATTTTAGCGGCTCTGCTTTACGTTAGTTAACTAAAAAATACTCTCTTGATTTCTATTTTTTTATTTTTTCTATAACTATGGAGTACACCTGCAAACTACGCCACACTCTTCTTCTTCTTTAAATATTATTATTATTATTATTATTATTATCGCTCGCTGCGTGGTTTCACGCGATATTTACGCCAATCTTCCCGGAAGGCAATTATTCTAGCCCCGCTTCCACAAGATCCGGCCATGAGGAAGCTGTCAGGACTACAGCGGGATGTGTGCTCGCTGTACAGACTCGCGCTCCGGGAGATCAGGAAGAAGCCCCAGGTATGCATGCATTGCTTGTGACCCTCCGGTTGCATGAAAGCTAATTCATTCGACCTACAGGAGTCTCAGGCCAACTTCAAGCAGTTCGCCAGGTGTGTACAGCCGGACAAGTCCTGCCCCCCCCCCTATATATATAATTATTATAAAATCTAACCCCAAGATTATTGTTCTTGTATAGACAGGAATTCCGCAAGAACATGGGCATCAGCAAGAAAGACTTCACAGCCATTGAGTACCTTCTGCGACGAGGCCGGCGCCAGATCGAGATGTATTCTTCTCCAGGAATCAGGAATGTTCTAAGGTGATAGATGGCCAGAACCAAGATCCCTATGTCATCGATGTCATCTATCAACCAGCGCGCCCGCAATAGAGTTCGCACTAGCAGAGAATATCAGCATCAGTGTCTCATTCTTCCTGCTACTTTCTGCCTTAGAAATTCCGCTATCACGTGACCATATGCCGAAGCTTCTACCAAATTCGCGCAAGCCCTCAGAGCTTCCAGCAAACCATCTCGCGGTCGGTGACGTAAAGGAGCGGCATGCCGGATGGCGAAACGGGGGGAGCCGCCTGCCCATGCCGTCAAACATATATAAGCTCCCTGAATAATTGGCAAGGGCGTGGTTTTCTCAATCCAATATACATCACTAAAAAAGCAAACAGAGAATCGATCTGACAGCTTCGATGGTCAATTAAACCAAAACCATCCAAACACCAGCCCAATATACCCTCTTATGTCCTCTCGCCCAGCCATTATTAAATCTCTCAAGAGCAGACTGCCATCCCAGCGATACCTAGCTTCCCCAGCTTACCGCGTCTCCAAACTCGCCACAACAGCCTCGGCAACTCCATACAACTACACCACTACTACGAACAAGATCCATAATCACAACCAAACCCGCAACATGTCTTTCTTCTCCCGCTTCCCCTCTGGCGAATTCACCCCTCTCTTCCGTCTTCTAGAAGACTACGAGACCCACCGTTCTGGCTCTGAATCCACCTCTGGCATGCGCACCTTCGCCCCGCGCTTCGACGTCCGCGAATCAAAGGACGCCTACCACCTCGATGGCGAGCTGCCAGGCATCAGCCAAAAGGACATCGACATCGAGTTCACCGACTCCCAAACCCTCGTCGTCAAGGGCCGCTCAGAGCGCGAGTACTCCGCCTCTTCCGGTGGCGACGAGCATCCCTCCGCCAGCGGAGCCCTCCCCGGGCCCAGAAAGCCCCGCCAACCAACCGTTGAGGATGAAGAGCCGGAGACCTCGACGACCGCTGTGACGAAGACGGGCGGCAAATCCCAGGCAGTCGGCCAGCATGTTCGTGATGGGATGAAGTATTGGGTCTGCGAGCGCTCTGTGGGCGAGTTTAGTCGCACATTCAGCTTCCCGTCCAGGGTTAATCAGGATGGTGTGAAGGCTAGTTTGAAGAATGGGATTTTGTCGGTTGTCATCCCGAAGTCGTCGGCGCCGACTTCGAAGAGGATTAATATTGACTAAAGGCAGCGGTGGGTAGTGTTCAGATAATGATGGGATGTATACTAATTTACGTGGTTTCAAATTCGGTCTGGGGGTTGACATTTCTTAGCATTTTGGAGTTGAGTTTGTTTTGATTTTTGATTCTGGTTCCTCGTTGCGTTTTTGCATTTGCTAGCGTTTGTTTAATTATAATTTGTAATGCGAAGTGACCAAAATGCTGTGTGCGAAGTTTGTGTGAGAAATCTTCTGACGTCGCCAGATGGTCAAGAAAAGATACGAGTAATTTCCACAAATTGAGCAGTTGAGTGTATATTAGCAACATCTCACATCCCAACCATTAATATTCAGTATTATCGATTGAGTTCCCATAACATCGAGTACCAGCAAGCTGGAATTAAAGATGTTTTCATAATAGACACGGTATGAGTAGGAGCAAATAAAACGATTGTAATATTAATTCCTGACGGGTATATAGGAGAAGAACAAAGGAGATAATGTGCAAGAGTAGACAAATTGTGTAGGTCACGGCACGGCAAGGAAAACCGGGCAAACAGGTGAACAAATTTTATCAAAAATGGAATAAACAACATGACAAAGGAGAGTGTGGTAGTGGATATGATGAGTGTTTCAACTACAAAAAGGTGTAAGAGGGCAAGCAAGTATCGGACTTCGCCCCTCAGCAAAGAAAGAATAAAGGTAAAATCAACTAGGTGGATTAGCACATGTCCAAATAGGGTAGATGAATAATGAATGGTAGGCCGTTTCGCGAATGCTCACTGGCATCGTTATATGCGTTCAACCTTCTTCTAGCGTTGCGTCAACTATGAAAAGAATATATATGTGAATAAATTGTGAAATGATGTTTCCTCGAAAGGAAAAGAGAAGAAAGAGACAACAAGAGTAGGACGGGTAACTCGTAATAAAAATTGCAAAAGAATAAATAATGAACAAAAGTTCCAGCGTACTATAAGCAACACACACAGGTTAAACAGCAAGCAAGCAGGACAAAGAAGTCAAATTGACTCAGGTTACTCAGCCCCTGAGTCTACTGTGGCTGTGGTTGTGACTGTGACTGCGGCAACCCAACACAAAAGAACGGATTCCTCCTCCCTTCCACTCCGCGCACAAAACTCCTCTTCGGTTTAACCCTCTTCGAATTCTGAAGCGGGAATGGGCCTGTAAATATGGAGGGAGAACGGTTATATTCCGTGCCATCATCGATATTATAGTTATTATAATCGGGGCACCTATTGTCGCTAGAGTCCACCCGGCGGGATGGTGGGGTGTCGCCCAATATCACCGATTCATGCTCGGGCCCAGGAGCCGGAGTCGGAGGCAGCTCACGGTCTAGGTTTGAGATGGGAAGGTTTCTGTGGCGAGGGGCTGATTCTGTTGCTGTGGTTGGAGATGTAGGGTTATTAGTGGCGGGTTTGGATCTAGTTAGTTTGTGGCCGAAGAAGCTCGTGCGGTCTCCAGGGACCGTGTTTCGCTTCTTGCTACGGTTTCGATGTCGGAAGAAAGAGTTTCGCACGCCACTGCGGCTTTGTTGCTGCTCTTGTTCTTGTCGCTGGTGCTGCTGCCTGTGAGGTTGGTGGTCCATTTTTAAGTTCGAAGTACTCTCATTTAAATTTACCATTGACTGTGGACGGTGGAGTCTGTGCGCCTGAAGCGGGTACGGATGAGAAAGATTGGCAAAGTCAGTCGACTTTTTGTTCTGAACGGAAGTAGATCGATGAATGGGGACCGTATGTTCGTTCACTTGGTTCTCAGTGGGAGTGACATAGTCAGCCTCCAAGTTCTTAAGGGGATCGTGCTGAGAAGGATCAGGACTCCATAACCAGGAACTCTGCTCCGTCTCTGGAATAGCTTCGCTAAGGAATGAGTGGAAGCCCTTATCCAGCGGCGTTGGAGATAGGATAGGTGTCACTGGTGGGGCTAGTATTGAAGATCCGATGTGAGCCATGCGCTGTGAAAAGCTAGCGTTTGCCTGAACTGTTAGAGGCCGAGCTCGATCAACTTCCTCATATCTCGAGCGATGTTCGTGTAAGTTCGGGGTTTTTGAAGCAGGAGGCGTATCCTTCCGCGGGACTGGCGGAGGCATTCCCGACGGGGATCTCCTTCGAGAAGTGGGTCTTGAAGGGCTTGTTTCAATACACTCTTCAATGGCTTTGGTGGTCCCAGAGGAAATTACATTTGGTTGCCCAGTTGCCTCATCTGTGCCTTCACGACCTTTAGTCAATGCTAGTTGGTGACGCCGCAAGGATCGATTTGAAGAAGCAGAGCTGTACCCGCTGTCAGCTTTGGTCAACGGGCACGTTTTTTGATCTTTCACTCTGCTAGTACTATTACAGGCATAACTTTCCACCGAGCGGCCTCGATTCAAGTCGACGTTACATTCGCGTTCAACAAACTCGTTCTTCTCAGTTAGTACCACTTTCTCGTCTTTGTTTTTGAATAAGTGATTACTAAATCCATTCGCTTTGGAAGTTGTTAGTAGAGCCGGATTAGGCTCACCCGACGGACCTGCAGATGCGCCGAAATCCAAGGGTTGATCTTTTATGCTCCCGGGAACAGAAGAGATTCCAAGGAATGTCTCAGCATTTTTCGGCCAGGAGAGCCTAAACACTGGGAGACCAGAGTCATGTTTTCCACAGGACGGTGTTTCTGAAAGGCCATATTCCGATCTCAAGGGGCTTTTACTGCGGTTAATTCGCGGTGTTCTTAATCTGCTAGGCGACGGCTCGAGATGTGAACTTCGAGCATGCGGCGCCCGTGGTAAACTGTTTGAAGAATAACCATCCGACCAATCTCGACTTCGGCTCCGTAGCAAATCCGTAGAGTTGCGCTGATCCAGGTGTACGCTTTTCATGTCGGAAAATGACTGTCGTCTAACGCTCATGGGAGTTCGGTCACTTGGGGCCGGAGACGCACTGCCATTAACAACGCGAAGAGAGCCAAGCTTCAGCCTTCCCAAGTGGGAATATTCTAGATCACTGGGAGTCGATGCCCGTAAGGGGGAAGAGTGAGTCATTTCATATAATAATAACGTATCCGTCGAGGTCCGCCGCATTGGTGCATGACCGTCCCGTCCCCAGTACGAAAAGGCCGGGCCCTCCTGTACGGTACTGCGTGGCGAAAAGATGGTCTGTAGCAAGGTTTTTGGAGATCTTACGGGCTTTCCAGGATTGTACAATGAAAGCCTGCGGATTGACGGGAATCGATGACTTTCAGGAGGACCGAATCCATCCCGGGTAGACACTCCTAGACCAAATGCCCTATCCGGCTCTTCTGTTTGGGCGCTACTCACCCTAGCTGGCATAGGTTGGGAAAATCGGGTTTCCAATTTATCTAGTTCCGGCGCATGAGAAAACAGAGCACCTCTTGTCCGTGATCCTGATCTCGACATTCGGCGTTTGAATTCTCCCATTATTTCCCCAAAATTAGCTCGAGTCCTGCCATCATCTCCAGTACATTGACTTCCCGAAGCGTGGCTAGGGTGAAGGGAGGCCGGTGAAGAGGGTTCCACAGCGATAACTTCGTCAATCGGAGGCCTTAGCTCTGGGGAACACACGGGCTGAGGATCCAGCCATGGACTGGGTGAACTGTGTGCGCTGTATGGGCTATACGGGCTGTATGAGCTCAGAGGCGGGGATTCGAGAAATAGCTCCTGGTCCCAAGTGGTCCTCAACCGATTGCCTGCGTGATTGGTCCGGGCCTTTGAAAGGCGATTGGAACGTCGAGCGCTCTTGTGGGGATGAACTGGCTGCGTGGATTGCGTGTTTCCCATTGCCACCGTTTTTGGTGTTGGCAAACACGATGCGAGACTTGGAGGCGGACGACTGTGAAAGAGATCCAGTACAGCAACACAACCATACAGCTCAGCAGCCTTTCAATTAAGGGTCAAAATCACAGCTGGATGCAAAAGATTCAAGAATGAGGGGATAGAAACGGGGAGGATGGGAAGGTAAATAACGAGTAAGCAGGGCTTGAATATTGCTGCACTATTGGCACGCGACGAGGCCGGGATGAAGCTGTACAAGAATTGCCTGCATATGTCAGAAAACTTAGGTGCAGATCGAAATTAATAAAAGAAAGGATATAGATAAGGAGAACCTTGTTTTCTAACAAGAGCAGTTCTTACAAATAATCTCCTTGTATATCCGATTAAGGCTTCTCGGGGGGAAAAAAAAAAAGAAGAAACTAGCATCTGGCCACATGGATCTCTGTCTCAGGTTCGCTGGCTGTAGGAGCAGTAAACAGCAAGTGGAGAGCTGGAGAAATTAACGAAAACGGAAAACAATAATAGTCGTGACGCAACAGACAGTGGATTTCACCACGATGACAAGACGAATATCAAGATAAAACGGCCTTCATGGCGGGAAAGGCGACGTAAGCCTTCAAAGATCTGGAATTGATCAAGAAGGAAAAAAGGAAATAAAAAAAGGAAGAAAAATAAATTAAACAGGCCAAATGCTGTAGCTGAAACTGGGATATGCGTGGTGCGCTTTGAAGGAGGTTGAGAAGGAGAGGCGGAAAAAGAATATGGATGACGGCTGTACAATACAGTTTCTATGGATACCGATCAACCGTGACCATCTTGTTGCAAATGTCAAGAATATTGAAAATAAGAGAGGAAAACAATAAGATCCAGGCGTGGTTAACGACCAGGTTTTACCTGAATGAGGGCCAACCTGGCGGTGATGGGGTTTTCCATTGGGGGGGTAGCGCCGATGGAAAATCCTGGTAGGTCCCTACAGCTGGATAGCAGTGGGCATCCGAGACGCACGAGGGAGAGCAGTTCGATCCCGCTAAGGGGGGATCGAAGCTTGCCACCCAGACCAATGACGGGATTGACATGCAGCAGGCAGAAAAAAAATGAGAGCGCGATTAGCATGAAGATCAGGTATGCAGGACCAGTGCACGATCTATAGGCGGAGGAGATATATATCAAACAGGTTAGCGGGCAGCCAAAACTGGCAAGAAATTGATTGAATGGGGCACTGTGAAACCCGGGGGTCCAGGAATCAAGATTGCTGGTTTCGGTCTCAGTAGCTAGTGGTTCATGGCTGCAGACGAGCGAGAGACCCCTCACTCGAGTCCTGCTATTTGATCTCACGCCCACGCACACTGGCACCCCCGAGCATCCTGACACTGGGAGACTCAGATTCCGAGGCCAGTTGCTGAGATTACAATTGGGCCGGGCTCGGCATAAGATCGCAGCCAAGCCGGGAAGATCTAGTCATTAGCGCAAGCTGATACCGATCTAGGTGTGAGAGGGGCGGATTGAGAGGGGTGGCTGCTGGAAGATGAGAGATGAAAAAACGAGAACGAATAGCTGCCAATGTTCACATTCACACTCACACCCACACTCGCATCATAGCCATGGTGTTGATTTGAGGAGGAGTGGGTGCCGTTCGAAGATGCCGACACTACTCCGTATAATGTTGTTGGATGATGATGGTGTGTGGTGTTGTTGATTGTCTAAAGTGGGCGGAGGCTGAAAGAATCCATTGGCGGAGGATGAATAATCCACTAAACCTTATTTAACCGTACATGGAGTTTATTAGATCGCGATATCAAATCAATGTATTTCTCTTCTCACTCTTGGAACTGTTGCATCAGAGAACTCTTCATGACAGTGGTAAAAGCCAAACCGTCACAATATCCGAGGACGGTACAACCTCTGGAGGTACATGTACATTGGGGCAACGCAAACCAGTCCAAGTTACGCCAAACGGACATCCAGGACGGACCAGAGAGAACAGAAAGGATTAAAATCAATCAATAAACCAACAAATCCCTAATCAGCCCGATCTCGATCAAGCTTTCCGTCGTTCTTGCAATACACATTCTTCCATTTCGGACTGCAAAGGGGTTCCTCCGAATCGGACCCCGTCTCAAACAAACAACTGGCTCGCATATCACCAGAAAAATCCACGCTAGATGAACACAAACGAAACTGCCCCCAAAAACCAAAAAGAAGTTCATAACTTTGTCAATAATCCCCACCCTTTTTGAATGCTCTTCAGATTCATTTCCCAATGACAGCCTTGCCGCCGCTTTCCGACTTCCCGTATCTCACTCGCGAGGAGTTCACCGCTGCTTGTCGCGCCCTAGTATCAAAAGTCGCTACTCTTCTCCAGCATGAAGACGATCTTACCACAAGCCTAGGTTGGACAAGTGTGAGGCTCGAAACCAAGGTATGTAATTTAAAGTGTTAGCTTCTTCTGAGCTGGAATTGTTTTCTGTAATTCCTAGGCCGTTCATCAGCTGGCTCGAGAATGGAAAAAACAAAAGAAACGACAGGCCAGTGCATGTGTGTGTGCACCTGTATTTGTGCTTGTCACTCCAGATGACCATGACTGCTTTTCTTGCAGATAATGGAAAAATTTCATATTCTTATTTACCTAGTGCCAGTAGTGAAGAAAAGGGAAAAGCTGGTACTTTATTTAAGTTGTTGTTTGGATGATAAGAACTAATTAAATTGGGAACGATTCCGGGAGTAATATCTATTTGTACAGGAAGGCGAGATAGTTTTGATAATCCAGAAGCAGCTCGACGACCCAGAGACTACTTCCCTGCAACATCTGAAACATGTGTGTGATACATTGCAGGAAGATGGAGAAAAGGATGACGATAATACGGCTGAGATTGTCGGGCGCGATGATAGTGATGACGTTGATGAGAATGATCCCGTTCGTATACACTCCACCCACGTAGTCTTCGCGCTCTCTTTTCAATGGAATGAAGACGGGGAAAAGACACAAAAAAGCAAAAGACCAAGCATCGTCGTTCACTGCGGAGTTGACTCTGACAATGTGCGTGGTACACAGGAAGAGCTCATTCGGCAGCCACGTTGCAGCTCCAAGTTGCAAGTAGAGTACAATATTATGCTATCCCCCACATACCAAGTCCCGATCCTGTATTTCTTCCTGCACAACATCAACAACAACAGCAGTGACATCTCTGCCAAGGGTCCAGATAGCCTTCTAGACGTTGTTTATAATTGTCTTGTCCCCGCTCAGCACCGATCGGTGCTAAAGGACGTTGGCATAATGGGCGGTCTGAGCATCGGGGTACGTTTGTTCGTGTACCATGTCTCTTCTCTCTATCCTCGTCTCTCTCTCTTGTCATGAGTCTTTCACCCAACCAATGTCCACTAAAGAAGGAAGAAGAGCAAAAAATAACGCTAACTAAACTGTAGCATCACCCACTCTCGGGCCTCCCGGTATACTTTGTTCACCCTTGCAACACCCCAGATGCATTGAGGGACGTAGCAGGGAATAAAGAAGTAGTAACCACGGAGACGTATCTGCTATTGTGGCTTGGCTTGGTAGGGAATTGCGTGGGCCTACATGTTCCGAGCAAGCTCCTTATCGAGACACGAAACCGGGAAGCCTCTTCAAAACTCATCCAGTCCTTTTCGGGAAAGAAAGGAGGAAGAGCGATCAAGAGGACCCCAGAGGAACACGTGTAATGCCCCGGTTTTCTTCTATTCATTTGGAGCGCGACATATCAAGTTCGGCCTGTGGGATAATTTTACTAGGTTTAATCTTCATCAGACGAGGCTTCCATAGACACGTCGCTTTCGTCTTCATCCATCGGCGCCTCGCCTTCACTCTCGTCTTCCTCACGGGGTCGTTTGACACCTTGGGGACCCTCGCTGGTGGGTCGCGATTCGGTCGCCGCAGGTGGTACTGTCATGCCAGCGGAGACTACTGCCGAAGGGGGGCCATTGAAGATGGATTTTTGAAGCTCGGTAGACACGCCAGGCGCCGGGGCGGTAGTTGATGCGTTATAGGTACCTCGGAGCTTCGCGATTATATCTGAACTGCCTTTACCATACGCGATTTTCTGTTCGTCCCAGTGACGCTGATGAGCATATGTCCCTACCGCTTCCAATTTGGAGGCTTGAAAATAGTATTAACTTTGTACATACCATCTCCTTCCCAAAGAACTCAAAACCCTGCAATGCCCGCATAGCCTGAGTGCTGGCTTGAATATCTCTGAATACAACGTGAGCTTGGCCACGCATCTTTGCCGTTTTCATCGCAACAACGTCGAGAACGGTGCCATAAGTGGAGAAGAGCGTGTACAAGGCTAGTCGCAAGTCTGGCTTCTTCAGTTTGTCAGGAAGATTCGTGCAGTATAGACTGTATTATAGTCAGTAAATATCCCAACTAAACGGGTTGAAGGCGGGACATCGAGATCTGCTTAACTTACGTTCGGTTTGGAGCTCCCACATTGACCACCGCGGACGCAGGTTTGGTGGTCATTTTTTCGGAAAATTTTTGAACTTGGAGTATCTCCTTAAATGAAATGAAGGAAATTAAAACGCGATGCACATCAATTGGTTCGACAAATCCCAGTATCCGAAGGCGGATTTCTGTGCTGTTGCTGTTCTGCTTGTGGATGATGTTTGTGTGCAGAGAAAATCCAAAGAGCAGGCAGATCACCTGACCCCATTATCTAAGCAGCATCGTCCTTGTTCCCCGCGCGATGAGAGATTAATGACATACAACATCTTGGAGAGACAGATTCAGATATAAACATACCCAAACACTGCGATAGTAGAGAGCTCCTCCTATCGCACTATTGATCGTTCCAACATGGCTACCCCCGAAGTGCACCATCTTTTTCACCACCCAATTGCCGACCACTCGTTCTCCGCTGACAAGCAGACGCTCGCCGTAGCCAAAGACAATGTCGTAGACTTATACCAGAAATCAGGCTCCAGTTATACCCTGAGTGATGAGCTCAAAGGCCACGACAAAACTGTGACAGGAGTGGACATTGCCCCCGGAAGTGGCAAGATTGTGACTTGTTCCCAAGGTCGGTAACCAAAATCCGCTATTACTGTTTGATCTTCGTTATAACTAAATATGTGTGTTTTATTGTCTAGATCGTAATGCATACGTCTGGGAATGTACTCCTACCGGATGGAAGCCAACACTTGTGCTTCTCCGTATTAATCGCGCTGCAACATTTGTCCGCTGGTCGCCGTCGGAGCAGAAATTCGCTGTGGGTTCTGGTGCGCGAGTAATAGCCGTCTGTTACTTCGAGGAGGAGAACGACTGGTGGATCTCGAAACACCTGAAGAAACCCATCCGAAGTACCATCACAACCTTGGCCTGGCACCCTAACTCAGTTCTACTTGCAGCTGGGTCCACAGATTCCCATGCAAGAGTGTTTTCCAGCTTCATCAAGGGCATCGATGAGCGCCCAGACCCGAGCGCTTGGGGAGAACGGCTGCCATTCAATACTGTTTGCGGTGAATTCCTAAATGATTCTGCTGGATGGATTCACGGATGTGCTTTTTCACCCAGTGGTAACTCCCTGGCGTTTACTGCCCACGATAGCAGCGTCACTGTTGTTTACCCGAGTGCACCCGATCAGCCTCCTAGAGCGATGCTCAATATTAGCACTAGGCTGCTACCCTTCATGAGTTTGATATGGAACGGAGAGAATGAGATAATTGCTGCTGGACATGTCAGAACCCCAATAACTATAAACTTCAAACGCCGAGTATTTTTGCTGACTGTAGTCTCTCAGGACTGCGAGGCATACCGTTTTAGCGGAGACGAAGCTGGTTGGCAGTTGGTGGGGCCAGTGGACGATAAGACACGGTCAGGAGCTGGTAGCGTCCGCGAAGAGAGTGCTCTAAACAAATTTCGCCAAATGGATATCAAAGGAAGTACCAAGAATGACACTCAACTCCAGACCGTACATCAAAATACGATCAGTACTCTTAGGGTTTATGAAGAAGCTGGAGGCAGAGTTCGGAAGTTTAGCAGTAAGTAATCAGTCATGTTTCATCATCTCTTTCCTTAGTATTCTTGGAAGACGGGCAACTAATACACTCCGAACTCAACAGCAAGCGGGGTGGATGGAAGAGTTGTTGTATGGAGCGTGTGATATATACATACACCGGTCAATGACAGATTAATGAAACTCTTTTATTTCTACCTTCTCAACTTTGGTTTTGCGCTTTATTTCCGTGCTATTGCTCAAAATATATGTGAGATGTATCACTGAAATATCTCACTACACCCCCAACTGCAATCAATACTTTTCGATGAATATGATACTTCGTCGCTCCATCTATATCTTTTCTTTCTGCTTTGATGTTTCTACGCTTTGTACTAAATTACCGCTGTTTCTCGCTTGTTTGGTATTCATGATCAGTTTCACAACTCTAGAGCTTGCTTGTTTTTACAAATACCCGCGTCAACTGGAAGCATCAAACACAGTCTCGACAACAGCGGAACTGGCGTTTTCGAATTACCTTGAACTTCTTCGTAGGTCCATTCACCTCTTCTCCCCATTTTAACTCTTTAAGAAATATGTTCTTTGTTGGACCTTGTGCCTTTGCTTTCCACAGGTATATAAACCTTTCGCCGTGCCACCCTCCTAGCTGAAATTCTTCATACACTTCGACCTCTCTATCGCAGACTCTCCGTTCAATACTGCTTATACCCCCACGCAAATATCACCCATCACACAACGGGAGAAAGTGTTTCTTGCCTTATACCTCCAAGCGAATACGTCAGGCGATGATAGGGAACGCGAGAACCAAAAAGAATGATTCTCACCAAAACGGGGGCTTCCAGGAATTGTCATCACGACCTGTCACTGATAATAGTCCCGCTACAGTGCCAACCAGCGCATCCCAATCCTCACCCTTGAGGCTTCCCCCAATAGATCCGAGTAGGGCACAAGCTCCAGATAGGCGCCTACCACCTATATTTCCGCGCGCTGGGCCAATGGCCCAGCCTCAGAAACCTGCCCAATCCCTGCCAAACAATAGTAACGCCTACAACCCATCAGAAATATTCCCTACACGGCGAGCAGTCAGCCGTACCCACACTCTCCAATCAATATACCTTCGAGAAATAGAATTCCACTGTATCTGTGCCGCCCGCCGTTTCTGGGAAGCCCACCGTCCACAGCCGATGCTAAAGCTGGTCGTCCCGAATGCCGCCCGTCCCTCTCGACCATACGGTTCAGAGACACCCTGGCGGGGTATCAACATGCTCACGGACCCGGCGTTCCGGGACCTTCAGCAGCCCATCGCGAAAATATTTCGTGCCGCAGACCAGGTCATTGGAAATGATGATGGGCTGGGGCTACGAGAGTATCTGAGCTTGATCGCTGATTTGGATTGGGATATGGTTCGACGGCGACAATGTCAACAACATCTAACACAACGGGATCAGCAGCAGCGGCAGCAGGAGGCACGGCTCCAGCAAGCAGGGCAACAGCAGCTCCCTCCGTCCGGACGTCCTGGAAAACCAATGCTAATAACAGTTCCCCGGCCCACCTTCCCGCCGCCCAACAGCACCGTTGCCGATAATTCCAGACGGGCATACTCGGCACAATTCACAACTGTCCAGTTACTCGATGATTTATACACACGGTGCGAGGCCGTGATGAATGCGATACAAAAAGTGAACGTGGGTGATGGTGATAAAGAGCCAGTGGAGTTGAGTCTTGCAGAGCTTGAAGGGGTCGTTTCGTCGGCTCAAGGATTAGCTCTTTCACTGAATGGAACCTTAGAGCACCATGCCATTGGGGAGGTTTGGGCGAAGTGCCTTCAGTCAAGATATCCATGATTTTTGGTGAGTGAATGAATGGTAGTGGGACGATTCTTCAGGCTGGTAGAGAATTAGAGAAGAATGCGTGGTGGTCGGGTAGGGACCTGACAGACAGTGCGAGTGTCGAGGGTTATCTGTCTAACAATGTTTTGTTTTCCTTTTCCTTTTCCTTTTCCTTGTGCTTTTCCTTTCTATGCTTGATAGCCTCCTTTTTCCCCCTTTTCCTTCCTTGGTTTTCTACTCCCTTGCTTGCCTCCCCCTTTCCTTTTTTGGATGATTTAGTTTTATTTTTACATCTTATTTCCCGCCGGCGCGCAATGCTCCTGAAGAAATTGCGATATCACAACAAACAAAACACTCCTCGTAAACAGCCAATGTCGCATGTTAGCTCTTGTATTAGTCGGATGGAACTATGCTTCATACACCTATGGCTATCTACACTAGAGCCTTCATTCTCCAACTTCCTCATTGAGTTTACTGAATTGTCTGAGACTTATCTAGCGAGGGCCCTCGAGTAGTGATCCAACCAGGTATGGGGTTAGCTAGCGTACGAGCATGGCAAAATGTCCATGGGGATTCCATAAAGTCCGCCGCTGGAATTTAGTCCGCCACGGGATTCTTTGGCCTAACTCCGTCTCCAGAGAGAAAGACGGCCTTACTCTATTCGACTGAGAAGCCTATTGGATCCACAGGGCTCCTTACGTGGTTGGCAGACATCAAACCTCTTTGGCCTCTATCATAAAAACCTTCTAATAATTATCAATCTCAAAACGCCTCAAACATGTTTGGCCACCCATTCCGATTCCATGTCGGAGGACAAAATCGATGACCTGGGCCTCACCCGTGAAGGTCCCGTTCAGTAGGGCTCTGCACATGGCAAAACTAAGGAATAGGGGAATGGTAGCGGAAATTCGGAAGACGCCACTTCCTTTCATGGGCTCGGGAGTCTTCAGTGCCTCGTGGATGTTTTACCGACAGCCTGCAATGCCGAGATGGTTGGAAGCGTAGGCTTCCAAGTTCAAAGAGTGCGATATTTCGATATTACGATATTGCGATATTGTCACCGGGTCGGCATCCATGCGTAGCTGACGGAAGAAACCTGCGTGAACAGGGTTTGTTCCAGGAATAACTTGTTTACTCCCCTTTCCTAAACTCAACACCTATCAGTAACAAGTTCGCCAAAATATCTTGATATAGGGGAGACGGGCATCAGGAATTGGTAGTAATGGAATCCAACTATCCAAGCAGCGGGAGTTCGATATGATTATCACATGGTCCGCCCGAAATTTCAATTACGTCAATATTATAGGCGCTGTTGGCATTTGAACCCAACAGCACTCCTGTGATGGGCGATATCATTGACTGAGCTTGACACAGGAACAGTGCTTTCATTTTCCACTCACGAGTCCGAGGGGCAAGGTTTTTCGAAATACCCACGAATCCGAGCAAAGGTTTTGAGTTTTCGGTCAGAAATATTCACACAATGTCTCCAAGCCGAATTTGAGGTTCGCTCATGGTATATTCCTTGATTGCGGCCCCGGCCAGGGGCATGTGTAAGTGACCACTGCACCGGCTCTAGAGATGGTGCCGACGAGTGGCATTCAGGGGGGTTTGACAGCTCTTCGAAACATATTACCGAATAAGAAGCTAGACAGATGAGGAAAATCTTAAAGAATAAGTTACTTTCAACTGACTATATTAGTTCACAAAGCAGCATTCAAATCCCCCAGCGCGAATTTTTGCTGGGCATAGATGTATTCTTCGTACCTAGGTACACATGCGCTGCCTAGCAGAAACGCGATGAACCTGAGTATTCCATCATTTCTGTCTGTCACTCGGGTATCCTCGTATTCTCGCCTTGGGAAAGACAAGGCCATTATCAAGATTCCTCCAGCAAGAGGCATAGGATATAAATACTCGTGCCGCTGCTTACTCACTCACCTCTAGCGAGTGCGCCACACCCACCAAAACGATAAAAACACCGAAACGATAAAAATCAAGAATCACATCCTCATTATAGCTCTTTACATCAACAACCAGTAGCTAATCTATAATAAATAAATTATCTACATCATTCTCAGTATGCGTACCATCTCTAAATCGTTTCATTTCCTCCTCAGTTAGTGGTGGGAGTGAGTTGTTGCCAATTTTAATGGGACCAATCCCCTGTCTCCATCTCTCCTTATTCTGCTCTTTTTCTGCTTCATTCTCCCTACGCCGCATGATATTTCTATTTGCATCCTTTGGCTTCTGCTTCACCCTCTTATACTCAGGTAGGCGTTCAATGAACCTGTATGTCCACATCTTGCTGACTTTTGGGGGGGAGATAGTAGGATCTGTATGATCGCGTCTGAGGATTGAATTCGCGAAATCTTGAATGTGTTCGGCCGTGGGGGGGCAATTTTTTTCATCTAGCAGCTTGATCCATCGTTTAATCGCGTCCTCCTGGCTCTCATTTAACCTCTTGTTAACTGGCACCTTCGCAGTATTCGGATTCCTTCCATTGATACGCGCTCGGAGACGTTGATAGGGGACATTAAATTCTCGTGAAAGAGGTAGTATTTTGGATTTTGGATTTTTTTGATAGGCAGCGATGGCTTGCTGGATACGCTCTTCAATATTTTCATCTTTATTCAACATTGTGGTGGTTATTAATTAATTAATGAAGATGAAGATGGTGAGTGAGTAAGCAGCGGCACGAGGAGTTTCTAGATTGTTCAATTCCAACATCTCGAAATACCTCGAAATATCTTCTTCCGGCGCCGTCAGCCGCCAAGCGAGGTCATCCCATATGGTGTAGTGGCTAACATCAGCGTCTCTCACACGCTAGCCGGGGGTTCGATTCCCCCTATGGGAGAAGTCTGTTTTCTTTTTTTTTTTTTTTTTTTCTTCTTCTCTTCCTGATCTACGTACGATATATATTATTTATTATATTGCAGAGAACCTCTAGCTAGATTATAATTCTGTTGATCATCCCAGGTAGGTAGAAATAACTGCTTATCTATCTATCTCACAACAATGTTGTACAGCATCATACAGAGTAGCATTCTGTGCAAAGCACCATTTGTCAATTCCCTGAAATCTGCAGCATACTTATCTTGAAGACAGCAAAACTCACCTATGTATGGTCTAAAGGAGTTCTTGGAAACAGAGATTTTGGAGCTGATACTAACTTGCCAGAAATCATACTGCTCTGTGCAACTACGGACTTTCAGGCGGGGTAGTTATAGCAATGATGTTATCTCAACATCTCCCTGAATACGGTCAACGGGACTCGATGGAAGAAGGGGAGCGTATTTGGAATATTTAGAACCTGGTTAGTCTCAACGGCATGAACCGTCTTTCAATATTTAATAAAAAAGACCATAACAAGGTAGAAAAACAAATATAGAAAAGAGGACTACTACCAGCACTTTGAATAACTACATTAATTACCCCCTTCCTGGGCAATGGCTGAAGGCTTAAGTTAGTTAACTAACTTAGCCTCTGGCTGGCCAAAAGCCTTCCGGCTGGGCATTATTTCATGACAACCTGACATAAGTGAGTTGAGTTAACTTAGTGAGAGTTAGTGCGAAATAATCGAACTGCCGGCGCGAGAAGATCTTCGTCCAAAGATAGCTCTCATAGTGTTTATAGTCTCCCGGCGATAGCTTCAACGCAGGTCAGCTCAGGTCAGGCCAGGGCTCCACAGAATTGCCAAGGGCGGGGTTCAAACTTCGGGCAAATATTGTGTTGTCCCGTACGGAGTAACTACTCTGTACTCTGTACATACATACATATAACTATACTATACTACAGACAGCGTATGCGGCCGAACGAAGAATAAGCAATTAGAGATGGGATAAGGCACCACTAACGAAAAAAAAGTTTAAAAAAAATAAATGGGGGGTACACATGGTAATGAATATGAGAGGAGATTCAATTATATATTACTTCTCGTTATATACATATATATATGCATAGTGGCAGACTGAAAGCACGAAAATGATATAACTGGTCAAGCGACAAGATATTTGTGAGTAAAAAATCTGAGTTTCTGGTCCAGAGTACCAAATGTTGCCTAAACTCCAAGAACACTATCCATATTCCACAGGATTGTTCTCAGCCTGGGCTATTAGTCTAAAATAAGTAATGAATGCATAGATCGACACCGCTAATCTGAAAGTCCAATGCAAGGTGTCATGAAGTGCAACGAAATCGAACTAACGGAGAGGAAAAGAATAAAAATAAAGCTAAAAACTAAAAAGTAAAAGTAAAGGAAAAGAGAAAACAAAACGAGAAAATTTTGGATCACACGACAACGGGCCAGCCGCTGGAAAAATCAAGACGATTCCATCCAATGAGTTGCTCAGCGTTCGACCACCCGATGTCGGTATTTGTATAGTGATAATAGAGCACCGGACCATATTCTGGCGTTGTCATGATTCCCCTGTTCAAGAAAAGGGTTAGTTTTGATCATTCGCCTTCACTCGACGTACGCTTATCGCCGGTTGGTTTGTTCGTTGCAAAGGGACAGCAACTAGAAAAGGATGAAAATAAAAAGAGTGATGAGGGGTGTATGAAGAACTTACTGGCCACCGGGTCCGAATATGTTATCATGGCTTGCGAGGACGGTCATGCCTCCACCTTCAGTACATGGACGTCCATCGGAACCAACCTAGGATTGGAATCAGCGAATCAGCTATATTCCTAAATAGAGGAGGGGGGGGAAAAAAAGAAAGAGAGATCAGGGAACGAAAGCTAAGGAAAATAACTGGGGAAAGACTCACAAACGGGCCAGACGGCATAGGTGACCGGCAAACTTTGATACGATACTCTTCGCCTGGGGCAGGGGGGGAAATATCATAATCGCCAGCCTTACCCCAGGAAAAGAAGAGATAGTAATCGTTATGATGCCGGTAAAGGAAGGCAGCCTCAATGTGATGATTCCAGCCTGGCTCGTAGGCGAGGTTGACCGCTGAAGACAGCGGCGCTGTTCTGGTCCCATCATTATTCATCCCCACCTGGAAGAGACCGCCCCAGTAAGACCCGAAATTGAAGCGGAGTGAGCCATCTGCATCCTCAAAGAGGTTGCCGTCGATGGCATTGTAGTTATCGCGCTCGGAGGTCTGTACACCGACGGAGCCATGATCGGTCCAAGAACCTGGCTCCATGGTTCGAGAGGTTGCAAGGCCAATGGCAGAATTGCGCGAACCAAGCGTTGACACCGAGTAATAAACATGGTATTCGTCGTGAACCTTATAAACGTCGGGAGCCTGCATGTGGGTCAACAACTAAAACTCTTATGTTTTTCGCGTTTACACCATTCCCGAGATCCTCCCAAGCTATCAAACAAACTCACCCAAAGATCGCGCCTTCCTGGGAGGTTAATCGATGAACCCTGCGGGAGCATAGATCTGGGCGCTGACCACGGCCCCTCCATCGAGGGAGCAGACGAGATGGATATCCCATTGTAAGACTGGAAGCGGAAATATCGCCCGTCTGCTCGACGGATGAAACCCGGGTCACGGCCGTTGCAAGCGCCGCGACACGGTTCTGGATGAGGAACTGCTTTAACTGGCGCCCAAAAGAGTAGCGGGATAAGCAAGAGCGATCGGAGCGACGGCATGGTGGGCATATTCGCAATAGAGCTGTGGATTTGAAGGTAGAAGATGAATAGAAGATATTGATAGAATTTCTAGTAGCGAAAAAAACGAGAAAGGAAATCGCGACTTTAAAAAGAAAAAGATAATAAACCTTAAAACTAGAGATCCATATTGACGCCAAGGATTCTATGGAATGCCGGTCAGCTTCATCTGTTCAGCTGGTCAAACTTTTTATGGGGAAACTTGTTGACGGCCTTTCGAGTATAGCCTGCCGAGCAGCCTAGCGCGAGTAAAGGCGCAAATAACATTTGCGAAAGCAAAGAAAGTTGTACCCAAAAAGCGTCTTTGGGTAACTAGCTTTATCGAAAAATCCCAGATCTCGGCACCACTTCATTGCTTGGCCGAGAACCAAATATGCCCAAACTCCGCGTTAGGATGGTTTTCGCTGTCAGGCATTGTCAGAGCTCCGAGGGGAAACCTCTGCATAAGCCACTTTGGAGAAAAAAAAAAAAAAAAAAAGGCATTTCACTGAGGAGTGTGCTTCGCGCAAGTGATCACTGTAAGAACTGCGCTAGCCAACGGAGCGTTGGAGAGGCAAGTCCCAATTAAATCGGCCGATGAAGGTTAATGAGAGGCTATGATTTGCGGGTGTTGTCAGCCTCAGCCGACAATATAGCCGATTGCCGAATGGGGACGGGCGGGGTTGTCGCCCGGGTCGGTATTGGGAAAAGGTAACATGAAGGAAATGCGCGGGAGAATGTCATTGCAGAGAGTTCAGCATGTCTCTGGGCTCCTTGTCTGGAAGCTCGACACCGCAGTTTTTGTTTCCCTCCAAGCAAGCCGGGGTGGAGTGGTGAAGCAGAGCCAAGACGGAAACACAGAAAACACATCATCTGGCTGCATTGGTCATACTCATCCCCATCTCAAGGCAAGGCTCCCGCATATCCAGTTAAAAGTGCCAGGAGCTCGGTCACAGTTTGCCAAATGTTGGGGTAGCAACTTGATTGCCACCGGGTGGCATGTGTCATTGGGTGTCATTCCCAGGTGTCATGACAAGTTCGACAGATTCCTGCCTGGTTTCCTTGTCTTATTGTTTCACTCACCCCTGCACCACACGCTCAATTCATCCACAGTTCGTTTTGAAGCTGAGGTTACTCCCCCAGAGGAAATGCGATGTGCGATGGAGCCCGAGATATGATGTGCAAAATTAGTGCTGGCCCTAGGGAGTGCAAGCTAGCAGCGCTCTTCTCCACATCGGTCTTTTTCTTCACCAAATGAACCCAAAAATCACATGATATCAATCAAGATATTGGCTGAATGCTAGACAGCATGGAGAGAAACAACTTTAAATATGTAATTAACCAGTTAACCAAAAGTATTGTTGATGTTGCCGTCAAGATCGTTATATATGCCAAAATTTTAGAAATGGGGTATTTAGTTAACCCAATGTGTGTCAAAAAAAAAAAAAAAAAAAAAAAAAAAAAAAAAAAAAAAAAAAAAAAAAAAAAAAAGGCACCAACGTACGTTGCACATGGGTATAGAATAAAAAAGAGAAAAGGAACCCGCAAAACCAAGAATAGGAAAGGAAACGAAAGGAAAAAAGGAAAAAAGGCAAAAAGGAAGCTACAGATGAAGAAAATTCCCCAAATCCGAAAAATCCCGAAAAATCCCGGATCAAAATTATCAATCACCACAGGTTAACTCAACCCACTTGCAGCACCATCACACCGGCTCTCTCCCCGCCAACTCTTCCACGGCCACTTCCACTTCCACTTCCACTTCCACTTCCACGGCAATTTCCAACCACCATGGTCACCGGGACGCTTCCCACTCCAATTGGGCGATGGCAAACAGACCCCCAACCGCCAAAAGTAATCGCGGTGTGCAAACAGCAGTTCCCACAACCGATAGCGGTGAGGAATAAGGTTCCATTGTGTCAAATCTCGCTTGACGTCATTACCATCGCTTTGCACTCTGACCAGCATCCGATCCCCGATCGGGTTCGGCCCGGACGGCAACAATGGTTGCTGATGATGCTGACGTTGCTGGCTAATAGATACAGCGGTGTCCATAGTCACATCGTTGTCTTCTTCTATGTAAGCATGGTCGTCATCCCCAATGCGCCCGGCCGAAGATGCCGAGGATGATGACAGGGTTAAGGCGAGTAAGTAGCTTTTGCCAGCCGCTTCAGATCCAGCGATGCATTCTGGATCCGCGTCGCCGATGCAATGCTGCAGGTCGGAGATGTCAGGAGGTAAATCTGGCTTTAATATATATATCTCGCCCGCGTGAGGTCGGTAACCCCACTCAGAAAGGGGCAACAGGGGGACTGGGTCATTGACGTGCGTGACGCGGTGGTAGGAGGAGGTCTTGTTGTGGTAATTCTTCGTATTCCGCTTAATGTCGCCGTTTGTTGCGCGGTCGTAACCCGATGACGATAACGACGAATTTTTCAGATGGAATACCGCATCAATATATTCTACCAGCCCTTGGTTTCCCACTCTCGGCTCCCCAAACGTCGTCACCTGCGGCTGCCAACCCCGAACCTGAAACTCGAGACCGGCAAGGGCAGCAACCGCCCCCCCCAACGAGTGTCCCACCAGCACAAGTTGGTAATCTGGATATTTCACCATCGTTCGTTTCAGAGGGTCTAGCAATGTGCGTCTAGCGCTCTTCCATGACTCCATGAATCCGGCATGGACGGTGCAGTTATTACAGCGAGGCTGGTGAGGATCTGTGGGGTTATTAGCCGGGTATGGGGTGTAGATCTGGGGGATAGCAGAGAGGTCCACGATAGTGTTTGCAATCGAGTAGGTGCCGCGGAATCCGATGATGATGCGTTTGGGCCATGGTGGGTGGGAGAGGACAACGAAGCCGCACGAGTCGGAGAGAAACGGGCCCGTGTTCCAGGTCTGGAATGCGATATTGTGATTAGTGAATCGTAGCAAAGATATATGTAGCAAAAGACACGGCAAAGTGTATTCTTTGCGAAAACAGCTGATATTGCTCTGGAGTTCGAAGTAGGGCATACCGTAACTAGTTCAAACCCTTCGAATTCATGACACCGTCCCGCGCAAGTGAACGGTTTGTACACGCCCGTCGTCCCAACGCAATATGTTATATCAACAATACGGGAGAGCTCCTCGAGCGAGGAGAATAATTCTTTCGACACCGTGCGGGCCTTCTGAGAGCTCCGTGAAGTGTCGTCATTATAGTCAGGACGATGACTAGGCAGAGCTGGAGTGGAGGTGCTGTAGAGAAACGCGGAGAGGATGAAGATAAGCCATGACCTCATTGTGTTAGGGGTGGAAGTAGTAACTCCTCGTTCATTGCATTCCACTATAATAATCAAGTATCAAGGTCTAGGCAACATCAGTCCTTCTGGTCCCCGGATAATATGTTGTGAATTAAAAGATGCCCATGGATCATATGATATTCTGGAATCTCTTCGAGTGATGTTGATCGCAACTGCGCATCTCACACGACCTAACTGTCTCGGTCATGTGACGTAATCCAAACTTTAACCAGGAGTAACATATGAAACCTGGAATCCGACCAAGACTGCTAGATAATAAGATAAATAAATAGACGAATATTGATAAATACATATATATACGTATGTGGCTTAACACCCAAAATAATTGTCATCAAAAATGTCCGGAAATATCAACTCACAAAGAAAACAACAAGGAAAAATTGTTCGAATGCAAGCTAGGATGAGAAAATGCAACAGAAAACCTATACCTTCCCCCAAAAGAGTCCACATCTTCGCGCGAAAATCAAAATATATCTCCAAAAACAATCGTATATATAATCCATGTAGAATGCCATAGTCCGGCTAAGAGATTACCTCCCAAAGTCCAAACTTGGCACGATAACCGGTCCAAACTTGACAACATTCCCATAAGCACCTTCCCCTTGCACCAAGAAATCCACCGCAAGACTCAACTTAGGAAACGCGCCGGACGCCGACATCATCCCCGGCGTCGTCGGGCTCATCAGTCCATAATTTGACTGCACATTGTCTGGATCATATCCCACGATAGCCACGTAATTACGGCGGCCCATGAGTTTGCGGTGTTCGCGTGGTTGGCCCGTCACGTCCGTCTGGAAGATTTCCATCATGTCTTCCTTTGTGTCTGTGACGGCGCCCGGAGCGAGTCGTTTGCCGTTGGCAGGGATATAGAGTGGTTTGTTTCCTCCGTGTAGGAGTTTCATGACGTAAGATGGTGGTGGAGTGTTGACGACAGAGGAGGAAATTATTTGGTACATGGTCTTATGGTCGGTTGGGTGGGAGGGGTCGTGGACGAGGCCGGCGCCGCAGCAGTTTACTGCTCCAGAGAGGAAGGTCATCCGGATATTCTTCTGATGGGAGATCCCTTGGAGGGTGCGGATCAGATAGGTTCGTTCAAGATCCTGGGAGGGTCAAGTCAATAAATATGTCATCGTGTCGTGAGTTACTGAGGGTGAGAAATTTACCTTCGAGTCGTGAGTCCACTGATCCCGCAGCTCATCAAGAAGCTCGATTTCACCAAATGGGTTCAAGACGCTGCCCATCAGTCCAGACTTGCCAACAGCTCTCTTTACAGAGTTGAATCCAGAGCCCACGGCGTTCTTAGCACCTACGACACCAGCAACGGAGCTGGTCACTTTACCAAGAACATTGTAGGCTCCAGTAACGGCCTTTTTGCCAGTGGCTATGGTCTGCGCGAGGTGTTCCGTAGATTCCAACCGCGGGTAAATAGGCGGGACAGAAATCATCCAGATGCAATGTTGCACGCTTGGAGGAAGCATTGTAATCTTAGGGAAGATCCCCTGATAGGTAGGTCCCGCCATGACTTGATGGGGGTTCCTTTCTGAACGGCAATCAGGCCCTACCACAGCGACGGCGGGGCCCAGGAATTTGATAAAATGCCAGCCTGTTCCAGTTATAGTAAAAAGGTCCATATCGTCGCTCGCATGACGTAAAATCTCCAGTGTTGTATGGTGCTGGAAAAGGAGGTACATCTCGATTCCTATTCTGCCAATATTCTTGAACATATTCGAGAATTGCATGTGATCCGGGTATGAACCAAACCCGTCGAAGCTGAAGAAAGAAGTTATGTCAGAAATCGTGGGGAAATTAAACTGCGTGATATATCGGATTGGGAGGAAAACATACATATCATGATCATCAACTTGCAATACGTGAGGGATCTGAGCATATGCTTCTCGCAGGTGCGGTTGATCAAAGTGACTTGTATAATAATGGAAATACGCATGTGTAGCATCCTCCTCATGGGCGGCGGTCCACACTGCGCTTTTCCTCTGCTCCTTGCCGCTGATAGTAAGCCATTGTTTGAGCGATGGGACCTCTTTCCAAATTCGGTCAGCGTTGATCTGACTTCCAAGTCCAAGGTGGACATGGAATCCGCCACACTCTGTATGCTTCTGCATAATGTCTTTCCACATGTATCCAGCGCCACCAAGGCGAGCCCTCTCATTTGCACTGACGCTAAGGGAGAAGTCATTTCCAGAAGTCGCTATGAAACGCCAGTTCGTCTCGTTCCGACCTGCGACGAGGAATTCGTATCTCGTGCATCCAAGGTGCGAGGTGATCGCATATGTCCACTTCGCAGGGTACTCTTCCATTGTAAGATCGATATTGTATTTGTAAAACGTCCATCGCTGGTGTGTTGAAATCGAAAGTCCCTTAAGTTGTCTCGGGTTTGGAGAGAGGTCTACGCTCTGATGAATATGGATCGTTGGTGGCTGGGGGCCATCAGTCACCAGTAGAATTGAGCCCAGCCAGAGTCCACGTTCCATGTCCATGTTCGTATAGCGAAGATAAGGGCCGAAGTACACTCCATTGGTTGGCGCAACCTTATACAATTCGACACCGCTGGCGGGGGGTGGGCCGGTGAATCCCGTACTCATACTCATAACGCTGCCCTCATATCCGGGTGTCATGGGGAGACCCGGTGATCCTAGCGGATGCCCAAAGGTGGATAGTCCTGGCGATGCCAGTGGGTTAGGCCCAAACGTTGAAAGGCCCGGGGAAGCAATGGGGTGGCCGCCGAAAGTGCTTACTCCGGGTGACATTGGTTCATTTAGGTTAAGAGGAGTTGGCCCCTTTGGAAACTCCCATTGAGTAGATTGAGTGGGGAGGTGAATGTAATAGTATTGTCCGGAATTGGGATCCAGGTGTGCGATCCAGCCTTCTGGGAGAGGAGGAGGGGAAGCTGGGGAGGGTCCAGGAGGCGCGGGAGAGCCGTTAATGGGAGTGGGATGGATGCCAGGGTGTCCATTTTGGAGATTGGGTTGCGAAGCACCAGGATCCGCTTGTCTGGGATCATTGGCAAACGCTGGGTGGCCTTGGGTATTAGGAGCGGGAGGAGTGTGTGAATGTGGAGCCATGGTGGAAGGTGTCATAGCTCCAGTGCTCATCGGGTTCATTGAAAAGGGGTGAGCAGCAGCGACAAGGCCTTGCTTCTCATTCTGGAAACTATGGGGCGCAGAGCCACCAGGACCTGGCCCACCAAGGCTGGAGTATGCGGGAGGAGGAGAGGCAGTCATATTCAATCTCTGGAAATCTTCCTCCAGTGGATTATGGTTCTGAGTGTAGCCGGCAGGGTGGCCAGGGGGTGGATGGTTGTCTGCGCCTGAGGTCTGCGGAGGAGGTCCGGATGTGGGAACGGGCCCCTGGTATACGGTTGGAGGTCCATGCGGTTGAGTACCGGGAAGTTCCGTGGGAGTCCATGGTCTTGGAGTCGGGTTCTGAGGCTGGGCGAGGTGTGTTGTTTGTGTTTGGGGAGCAGCATACTGCTGGGCACGCTGTTGCGCGGCAACACTCTGCGCCTGTAGATTGCTGAGAGTCGATGTGCCTGCAATTCCCGCTGCAGCGTACCGGGACTCAATATCTGAGCGACCTGGAGGCACAATGGGGGTTTCTGGAGGTGGAGGAGAGCCGCGGTTTGCTTTGGTTGTTGAGGTCGAGGCGGTAGAGCCTAGTCGGTTAACCGAATGGGTTGGTTGTGGTGTTGTTAGGTTCGACGAGGTTGAAGACGACGCGTTACCCTGTGCAGTCCAGTATTGCTGGTGGAACTCGGGATACGGGTTCACCTCCGTAGAGGGCTTTCTCCGTTGCTCTGGCATGCCTCCGGTGTTGGCGCGTCCTCCCACTGGATGCTGCGGAGCTTTCTGGAACAATCCTTCTTTATCTGACGTTTGAAGTATTGGTGATTCCGGTAGGGGCTTTGGACCGGTAGTTCCTCTCCTCTCCGCTAGGCTCGACTGGGCTGTCTTCGAATCTCGTCTTTCCCGTGGCCGCAAAGAAGCAGGGATATCAGCGGGACTCGATCCTCCTGAACCGGAATGAAGAGGTGAGGAGGGTTTGGACGATTGTTTTACAGTGGAGGACGACTGATCACGGTCAGGGTAAGGCGGCCTAGAATTGGAGGGGCTAAAGGAATGCATATGAGGTGGCTTCGAACGGTCGTTAGGGTAGGGCAGGGGGTTATGCGGAGGAGGGCTCTGAGGAGGTGGGTTAAAAGCTGAAGGCTGGGTAGTATTTCCGGCAGTTGGGCCGGGGGACGGGGTATCCCGTTTAACAATCCTCAACGGGGAGACAGTTGGGGGGTCGCGGTCAGATGGAGAGGTGAGAAACATCTCGTCGTGTTGGTCCTTTCCATGGCGACTCATGGCGGGCGGACTGGCGCTGGTCGCAAGGAGGATAAAAGGTGGTCTCAAAGCTCTAAGTAGCTATAGACTAGGCTCGAGGAGTAGCACAGGATGTTTATTTATAGCGATTTCGCACAGCGGAGATTTTTGCAGAATGCAGGTTGTTGCTGGCGCTTGGAGATGGTCTGAGGGGAAACGGAGCAAATGACCAGGGTAAGTGGGGTGGATGATGGTAGTTATGCGGGCTATCAGGACCTTGTAAGCGGTTAGCTAGGCACGAGATGGAGATGTATACCAAGGGTTTCACAGGATATCAACCCAACAACAGGTTGGATATATATATTGTCCCATATCAAGGTAGAAAGAACACGGAAAGAGATGAAGGCGAAAGAAAGAAGAGAGGGAAAAAGAAGGGGAGGGCGAAGATGAAGAAATCGGAAGAAGTTGAGGAAGAGACGACGAGACGGAGGCTGATGGATGGTATGTGCTCCGTATGGTATGGGGGAATACGGCCTCCATACGAGACCGCGCGGGGCTGAGAGAGGCAGGCATTGGCAGCGCGAATAATACAGAAATTACGTCTCCAGTTAGTTAGTTACCGTTTCCGCCGCCACAATATTGGCCCTGGATATCTCCCCACCTGGTTCGAGATTTGGGCATCAACATTTCAGCGGGTTAGAATATCCTGCCACTGGAGATAAAGAAGGAAGAAAAATGATTAGCAGCAGTTCTTCGATTCGACATTCTATAATTACTAGAAAACGTCTTTCCCGTTGCTTCTAACCCCAATCGAAGCTTATCGGAGCCGACTGCGGCTGTTCCATGGTTGGGCTGGGCGGGGTGCCCGTGTGTACCGTATTATTGTCCTGACCGTACCTGACCGTACCTGAACTTACCTGAGCTTACCTGACCTTACATCTCCAGCCAATCACGTGCTGCCATTGCTTGCTCAAACGTCTCTCCTAAGCGCCAGGAGGAAACAAATGTGCGAGTTTGTGATAGCTGAAGTGGAACAACAACACCCGGCGCTTGTCAAGACGAGCAGTTGCGGGCCATCATTGGTTTGTTTCGTGGTCCAAGACATGATGCGGCGTCCTCTGCAGCGGGATCACACCCAGGCCCGCAGATTTCAGGGGTATATGTTGGGAAATATTGCTACCATCATCATTGCTATAGTATCATACCCTGAACCTATCATACCTACAGCTGGACATTGCAGGGGCTTTATGCAACCTTTGATCAGTTGTTTTCTATTATCAAGAGCTGCCAATGGCCTGCAAGCGCCTGGTTATGTTGGAACCTAACAAATAGTACGAGTTGAAGGACTTTTTGTGCTAGGACCTTCGATGGGACCAAGTTGGATGTTAGGGATGCGGGCTATTTCAACCACACAGCAGCAGGGTACTTCTTCCAACCGCCTACGGAGTACACAGGACATCTAACCACTATATATTTGAGGATTAGGTCCATAGTCCATCTATGAATCACTCCTCCCGAGGCAGGCAGCCGGATTCAAACTTTAGTCTCGCAGCCATACTAGCTTCCGCAGAAAGCCAGTGCATACGCTATAAGTTTGTAGAGGTTTTGATGGGGAATCAATTCATTTCCACTGGGGATGCCCTTATTGCCTTGAGCCTTTTCTTATTAGAGGCCAGGAAATCTTCGAGATCACATAGAAGGACACACTGTAAGCTATCTTACATTGACATTAGGGTCTATGCAATATTGCTTGCGGCTAAATTAATATATTTACACAGGGATTGGTATAACGGAGGGAAGCGGCAGTTTTGTACTGATGGGAATTGCGGCCTTATGAAGGAAAAAAAATGTAAAAATAAAAATAATAAAATAAAATAAAAATAAGAGCTGAACTAGACCACTATTTGGACTATTGGGGTGGTTAAGGGCGAAACGTAGAGAAAACTCCAACGCTGTAGATTGATTTAGAGATTGGGTAGTCAAAAGAGTTGGGTATAAGCTAGAATAGTAAAATGAATTCGGCGGATGAACGACGATGGGAACAAAGGGATGAGAGGAAATTGACAAGAGAAAAAAACACAATCGTAAAAACAACAAGCCAGAAAATCTCATAATCCATCAGAAGATTCATAGCCCAAAATTCACCATCTGCAATCCCTGCTCAATCATAATCTCCACCCAGTCCACATCCAACGCATGCCCCTTGCGCATATATCCCTCCGTCTGCCTCTGATACACAATCTGCAGCACATGCCTCGTCGTCGTCACATTGCGGCCCACAGATTCATTCCCCTCAATGCTAGAAAGTAGATCTAGTGCGAGCATTTTCTGCGAGCTGGACGAGGACGCCACGCCCGCCATGAACAGCGGGAAGACTATGAAGCGCAAATCGAAGCGGCCTGCATGCACGATACTGGAGGCTACGTGGAGGATGGCAGTGGTACGTTGGGAGATTTCGAGCGCGGGCCCGCCGCCGGTTTCGATGCATTGGCCCGGCCACATGCTGGTGTAGGAGTAGATGAGACTGGCGTGGAAGAGGGTTGTGGACTGTTAATAAAGGAACGGGGACGTTAGTTGGCACTGTTGCGGCTCTAGATAAATTTTGTCTGTGGACGGGGGCGAGGGAAGTGGGGGGTTAACGGACATGTTGAAGCATCTCCTTCGATCGACTGGGTAGTAAATCCATTTGTTGCTCCAGGACGGATAAATTGGAAGTGACCCATAAATGTCGAAATGCTTGCTGGATTCGGAAAAGGCGCTTTTCCCTATCAGCGGGGATTTGCGGCGGAAATCCATGAGAGCTATTTGAACTTGTAGTATTCATCGCTGTTCCGTTTGCGTAGGTGCTCTGGGCGCGGAATTCCGATGCCAGCAGGCCCAGTCGTGCTGCTAGGACGAAGATGTCATGGTTAATCTGTAAGACGGTAGGAAGAATATCTCTTTCCTCAGGGTAGATGATGCTTGTCCCGTCCGGGCCAAGCGGGTAGAGGTGGAATGTTGGAGGCGGGATCATGTCGTTTTCCAAGACCGCTCCGATGAATTCTCCCGTTCCAGTGCCGCTAAATAACGCATATAAATCAATCGAGCAAACCCACCAGATAATAAAGGGAAATTTCTCTGTTTTGAAAAGTTCGTTTCGCATTAGGAATATTCGTAGCAGCCGCTCGAGATGATGGGACCAGAGGTTGGATCCTCCTGGTTCCGCTGCGGCTATCTGATATTTAACTTTAGAAAGCAGTTTCTCTTAGGTAGATGGGTAATAATGGGAGTGAATGGCGGGCTACCTCGTAAATCAGAAGTAAGAAATGGGTCAGAAATACTCCATCCGAGGAGAGATCCTGATGGCTGCGCATACTGGTTTGTAGGAAAGGTAGGGTTTGCTGATAGTGCTGTAGAGCAGCGATACTTTGGCCTTTCTCTTGATGGGACAAGCTTAAAGCAGAAACGGCCATCATGGCATGGAATAACTATGAGAGGAGAGTTAGTATGCTGGCTGGAGGACATCCAAACGAGGAAAAAGTACTTGATTCGACAGGTATATTTACCGGACGAAAAGTGGCAGCCTCCTGCTCGAAGATATCTGCTCCAGGGGCATTTCCAACGCCGTGGGGGGGGGATTCAGAACGAGTAGCTGTTTGCACGAGATGACTCCAGACCACTCTCCTAAAATGCAAAAGTAGCCTCGTATCCTCCCCATACTGTTCCGTAGTATCTATATAAGACTGACTAAATGTTTCCATAAAGTCCCGGATAGGAGCTTCATCAACCAATTCAGTCGAGGACTTGGAACCAGATGTACTCGACCTCGATGGTGAGGGCCTCATGCTACTTCTCCAGTGGCCAGGCGACGAGATTGGTATGGAATCTTCGAATTTCGAGAGAATCACTACATTCGGGTCACCCGTTTCTGTTAACGAAGAATTATGCCTATTGTGTCTTCTGTTTCTCTTCCCATTCCTAGCCTTGAGGGTATCATCCTTATCAGACCCAGAAGAACTCGACATAGACGTGTTATCTGTGGTGTCGGAATATTCAGGCAAAGCCGAGAAACTCTCCGGATTCACAATAACATGATAGGTACCGGGAGAATAAGCCTCTGCTTTCATTTCTCTCTCCAAGTCTGAGGTTAAGCACGCGAACGGGGGCAGCGTATCTCCTCCTATGGACGAGTTGGGGCTACTCGCGGTCAGAGTTGGTGATTTTGCTACCAGTGAGTTACTTATTAGCCGTATGAACGACTGCAAAATGAACTGTAAGATGTAGAAAAGAGTGTGTAGCCGTAGAACATACGATCCCAGACTGCATTTCCAGCAGTGGAAACTGCTTGCATCCGCTGTTTGATTCTGGATGTATCGTCCCGAAACGCTAGCCTTGGGCTATAATCGCACTCATGTCCGAGTCTTGAGCATTGCTAGAGCGTGGTTTTAATATCTAGTCGCAAGAATTCGGTATCTCTCTATGCCGGGTTCAACAACTTACACCACAGGTAGGATGTCCTTCGTCACATTTTACTTAGGATAACAATCAGTAAACCGCTTCGTTGATATATAGCTCGATATATTTGACAAACACTCACCTTTGCGGCTCTTTGCAATGGAAAAACAATGTAGTTAGCAGCGAAATTCGGTAGTCACGGGTTGTGACAGGTTGATATAACTCACTCTACACGTCCTGAACAGAGCATTAATGTTAGAAAGGTACAACAGGAGAAAGTATTTAGGTTGCACAGGTCATGTAGAGCTTTCACATGAGTAAATAGTATGTACAGCCAGGAGAATCAGCTTACCAGCAGCCAGTCCTCGATCTAGGCGGCAGGCGGACTCGAACAGGCATTTTCACCTTCTGCTCGTCCCTGTTCGCAAGCTTAACCCCCGACTCCGCCGATTTAACAACATCATCTTTCGGCGCAATAAGTGGCAAGTGCGCGACGTGCTTTGATGAAGGCATCGTTCGTCCGTCTGGCAGCACAGCAGACCAAAGGCATGGGATCAGCTCGCATATATGTACGCCGTTGTCCTGCCTAGTTGTTCCTTTTCCTTCTTATCTCATGTCCAGTCTTCCCTTGTTCCCTCTCTCCTTTGCTTCTTCTAGATACGAGGTCGTGTAGTCGAGTTGAGAAAGTTCAGGGCCTAGGCATAGCAATAACAACTGACTATCACAAATTTTTTTTGACAAGGGTACATATATCAATCAAAGGGACCCGTGAAGAGAACAATGGCGAGGCTAAACTGATAATAGAGTGGGCATCCCTGTATGTATCCGAATAGCTCACGAATTTGCTTCTCAAAATCACTCTAGGGGCCAGCAAATCGAACGGGCATCAGCCGAGATTGAGAGTATGTTGAGGATAATTCTGGGTCCACTTGATGTCAAGTAGCAACAGATCGCAACCATGAGCTTCAGGCATTGAAAAAGAGTGGAGGGCATATATGTATACGAGTAGATTAAGGAGTAACGGGTTTCGAATTAAAGCAAGGACGGTGAAAAATAAACTCCGGTAGGAATACGCATATGCGTATGCGTGCAAAAAAGCTCTGGCAGGAATAATTAAACAGAAACTCTCTTTGTTTCACAATATGAAAAGAAATACTAGGAGCTAGAAAGAGAATGATGAGTGAAATGTCCCGTATGAAGCTTTCAGTGGCGGATTCACAAAAAGTAGCCAAAATATATAACGTTACTCCTATGTAGCAAGCTGGACCAGAGCAGGGGCCTCTCGGATATATAGATAGAGAATGAAACAGTTTATATATAAATATAACATGCTTCTCGTGCATTTTTCAGGTTTCGAAGCTAGCGGCCGCGGGAACTAGGCAAAGCGAATACCAAGAGGAGGAATTGTAGAGAATGTAAGAAGCGGATGGAGCACGAAAAAGTTTTCATGGGGACGCACTATCAATAGGTCAGATCATTCATTATGATTTTAGGTTGAAAAAAAGTTGTGTGCAAGTCTGGATGCTTGCAGGTTTCCTGTCTTTTCTTTTTCCTTTTCCTTTTTTGATCAATGCAGGCCCTGGAGATCTTGTGCCAGGGGACCGGCGAGTTCAAGGAATTTGAAAAGCGCCAAAAACCCATGAATAAGCCCATTATAACTCCAGGATTTCCGTGTGTTTGACAGCGAGCCCATGAAAGGATAGCCATTGTCTGACATCTGATCGTCAAACAGAATGTTCTACTGCGGCGCTAGAAGGATTTCGAAGCATTTGGCGGGTGGGATAAAAATCAGGATCAAAAGAAATACATCAGAAATAGAACTGGGGGAGTGCGCACGGTTGTCAAAAATTTCGGGTGGCCTTAGCCTTTTGCGTCATCATCAACTGAGCAATTTGATCACCTCCTGGTGTTCCACCACCGGAATCACACGGTAGCGAGTGTGCTAAGGCTGGGATGCATGGGCTAAGGCATGCAGTCAGCATCGGGGCGCCCGACTAAAGAATCCCGTTGGGCCGCTGGGATGCCGGGGAAGAGAGTGGAAAGGATATGACCGTATGACGGGCCTCATTGTGGAACCAGCAAAGCCGGAGCCTCCAGCACCCACTGGCAGCCAGCAGTGGGTTGCCCAATAAGAAGCGCTATCTCGTCGGCTGGATTGACCAAAATCCCACGCTGAATGGGCTTCTGGATTCCTTCTAGAAGAATTGGTCCCCGCAGCCAGATGCAGCGTGTTTTTCTTTTCTTTTTTCTTTTTCTTTCGCTTTTCTTCTCTCCCGCTTTTGCACCTTGGCTATATGCACAGAGCAACATTGGGCTTGCATGAATGGCATGGTTGGACTTAGCGGCAAACCATTGTTTGTTTGCGGCTGGCAGGAGTTTCTCGAATTTTCTCATAAGCCTCATAGGGCGGGTTTCTTGGGCTCTCGATCGAAATCCGATTCATCTTCA